TGGGCTTGGTTTGGTAAGGGATTTTTTTCCCAGTAATTTAACAGTCACTAAATAAAAAGTGCTTCACTGATATTGGTATTTTAATTTTTTTTCTTGATCCCTTCTGAAGTGCCATTTCACGAACGTTAAGAAAACCTCCAGTATTTTCAAGCATGTTAAAAAGTGCAGCAAGTAACACTGTAATAATGTTGTCTGATGTTTTCTTTATTTTCGCCTTTCCCTAAAATTCTGTTCTGTATCTGTAGATAGTCTGGATCTTTACCAGGATGGCTTTTAGGTCCTGGATTTTTTTTACTGAGAAGCACAAATATATATAAATGTCAGTCTTAATCCACAAAATGTTACATTTTAAAACAAACAATGCTACTTCTGTTCTTAAAGATTCTGCATAATCCGATTTTTTTACTGTCTGTACAGCTTCTGCTGGTGCCACAAATGATGCTCTGGTAGAAAATGTTTCATTTGATTAAACTGTATTATACTTATTCAGTATTTTTCTGAAATGTCACATTCTGACATTAAAACAAGTGTCATAATTGTTGTGTGCACTGTGGCATAGTTACCATGGGAAATATATTAATTTCCTGTGACTTTTTTTAGTGTTGAAAAATAATTCCTTTCTTTGCATTGAAGATCAAAGTTTATAATCTAAGAAAATACAGAGCTCTTTTGTTAAAATCAAATTTACACTCTAGTTGGGAGTTAGGATTTCCTTTTTAACTGCAGTTATATTAATAGTCAGTCTTTTAATAGCACTTCTTATACATACCTACAAGAATGCACTATTAAGGTGGCAGTAATGCTTGTGTCCCAGTTTGTAACCTGTTCAAAGCCCCAGTAAGGCATTGGCAAAGCTGCCAGCAGAGGTTTGAGCTTCACTTGTGGAATGGAGGGGAGCTCATGCAGGCAGTCCTGCCCTAGTCCTTCTGCAGAGGACGTGTCAGTAATTAGTTTCCTGTTTGCTGGAGCACTAAGTACAGAACTATGTTTTTGTTCTACTCTAGGGTAATACATTTTTTTGAGGAAGTATTCCAGAGCTGCATTGCCGGTCAGTGACACAGAGCTGGTTATGGTCAGCAGTGCAAAGTGCACTGGCAGCCAGGCAGGCGGTGCTGATCGTGTTCAACATCTGTAGTATTTATATGGTCTGTTGAGATGGAACAAATCCTCAGTACCTTTGCAGGTGATACCAGTCATGGCTGAGTGGTTGACTCCTCTGGACATTAAGGTTGCTGTTTAGGTGGAACACAGTAGGCTGGAGAAAAGGACCTGACAAACCTCTTAAGATTTAACAATTGTAAATGGAAAGTATTATACCTATGTCAAAATAACCCCCTGCTATAGCACAGGTTAGACATTCCCTGACTAGAAAGTAGCTCCGCAGAAAAAACACCTGAAGGTCCTGAGAAAGAGTAAGTAGAATTTGAGTCAGCAGGGTGTCCTTGCTGTTAAGAAACCAGCCATATGTTTTGCTGTATTAGCAAGGATATAGTCAGTGAGTCAGGAGAAGGGATTCAATACTTTTAAGTCCATCTTCAGTGTAGTGTGTCCAGTTTTGGTTCTCATAGAGGAAAGACACTGACTGACATGTTAAATGGGCAGGAATATGGTCAGTGTTCTGGAGCAATCTCGCTCAAGTAGAAGCTGAGAAAACTGGATTTGTTCAGCCTTAGAAATAGAAGGCTATGGGAGTACTGTTACTGCTGTTTTCAGCTGCCTCATGAGAGGGTATCAAGAGCCAGACTCTTTGTAGAGGTGGTGTACAGTGATAAAACAGGAGACAACAAACACAAGTTGCGGTAAAGAAATTCTGATTAGGTATCAGAAAGCAAATGCAATGTATGGAGTGAAAAAGTGGAATAAGCTCTCCACAGAGATAGTAGTGACTCTTAACTTTGAAGATAGTCAGAATGTGACTAGGTCCTGAGCAACTTGTTTGATGTCTTGGTTTTGAGTGTGGGGTTAGATCAGGCTCTGGTTGACTTCCGGAGGCCCCTTCAGTCAGAATTGTTTATACTTAATTGGCGTCATTATCACAATGACAATGTATCTAGTGCAGAAAGTGTAGTTAAGTTTTAGAAGATGAATTGGTTGTGAAAAGAACAAATGAAAAACATTTAAAAAACCCAAAATTAAAAAAACTCGCCGTCTAGGGATAAGATTGTATAACTTTTCTTCTGTTAGCTTTCAAACAAAATAATTTCCTTTTCTCCTGATAGGTAAACCATTTGAGATGATAAAACTGGTAGAGTGTCTCTTTTAGTAGAAAGCAACACTGGCAAATACTTGCACACACATCACTTGCAGACTAATAATTAGTCCTGTAACTGACATCTGACACTTTTCCCAGACAGCCTGAGTTCATTTCAAACCCCATGTTGCATGACAAGGTAGGACTCTGGGGTTATTTTGGATGCACAGTGAGGGAGGTAAGATCTTTTTGGATGGTGCAGTAAAAAAAAAATATTTCACATGCAAGGAAAAAAAGGTCAGCAGCAGCTCCCTTAGAGGATTACAAGGATGGATCATTGGTAGTGGAACAGAGATCTTGGAGATTGCCAGCTCTGTCTTTCCTGTGAAATAACTGACTTCTTACACTGGGCCTGTGTCCCTGTAGCAGGCACAGGTTCTTTCTTGATTTTATTCCGGTAGCTGTTATCCTTTTACTTGTCCACGGTGTTTCTTGTGGCTGTCAGAATGACACACCTATGTTTCTTGGCAAACGCTTATAGATAATGCAGTTTTCTACCCCTGTAAGTAGTTTTTAGAGGAAAGTAACATTTTTTGCTAATCACATAAAACCTTAAAAGTCCTGAATGGAATTGTCTTGCAAAGGCATGTCCTCATAAAATACATTACAGGACATCTTAATTACAGGCAAATTTCTAACTTCATGTTTTGCCACTCTGGGGCTATTTTTACCACATTTCACAGTTGTCTAAACACACTTTACCTGTGTCTTTGATGCACATGAGTGGGCATGCTATGAAATAATAATTACACATCTGCAAGAGCTCCAAAGTGTTTGAAGCCTGAAAAAGGGGACAAAACTTGCTCGGTTCTTACAGTCTAGAACGTTGGCTATAGATCTCCATTTTCTTAAAGCTTTCCTTTTTATCAACTGGCTAACATTTAGGGACTTTAGATTGTATCTGGAAGTCAGTTTTTTAATAAATAGCTTGATAGAAATTGTACAGATGGAATGAGTAATTCTGCTTAAAGGAGTGCAAGCAAGAAATACAGAATATATTTTTTAATATATTTTATCTTTTTAACATATGTCAAGGTTTTCTTATTAACAGGTGACTTAAAACTGAAATTGGCCCCTTCCCTCTTCAGATTTTACTCTTGCCCCTTCAGTTGCTGAAGAATTGAGGAAAAAAAAACACTTTTGTGAGCATTTGTTGTTGTACTGTAGGACTTACGCCATCCAGTTCTTTAAAGAGTGCTTTATGCTCAGTTGTTGTCTCTTTATAAATCATTGTGCATGGGTATACATAGGTGTATATATATAGAATATGCCACAAAGAATTAATTTTACTCTGTTAATGAGTGTAATAATAGTTTGTAAGGAGCATTCCTTTAGAAAAGTGTACTTTGAGCGAAGTCAGTTTGCTGATGTAAAGCTGGTTATTATCTAGAGCAGCGTCCAGTTACTGATGTTGGGCTGCGATAAAGGCGTATCGCTTGTGCCAGATGCGCTGTTTAAAGCGTGCAGCTTTCTTGCTCTGACACTGTTTTGGTGTTCGGCCAAAGAGAAGGAAAAGCAGCTTACTCTTATGTCCTTGAAAAGGAATAATCTTTTGAAAATGCTGCTTTAGAGCACTTTTAAAAGCACACTTTCTAAAGTATTTTTATTTAATACGTGGTAAGTGTATGTTGTGTTTATATAAAATCCACAGCTTTTCCTGGGAGAGAGATTATAAGCTTTTGTCTTACACATGGTGTGTATACTATTTACACATTGCAAATATGAAAGTCTTAATTTCATATTCTGAAGGGCTGAGTTTTGCTGTCTGGACTTTACTTACATTCAAAAAGTGTGGGACAATGATCCTTTTACAAAATGGTCAATTTTGAACTGCACAGTTTATCCCTTACAATGACATTGCGATTCTTCAGTGATGCTGTGAATTTGTCTCATTTCAAGCAAAAAAATTTTTTTTTCCCTCTGAAGTTTTTATACCGTAGGTATAGGGAATGCTATTCTTAAAGATCAGTCGTTTTTCCTTATAAACATCAGAAATCAGTTGGCCTAAAGTAATTTCATATTCCATTTTTGTCAGTTCAGCCTAAAGACTGAGTTTCGAAATGGCTATCTCCCTTGTAAGCGTATTTTGTATGGCTTGGCTGTCTAATCTATGCATTCAAGCATTGCTTGATAAGAAAGAAGGCTATGATGTTGCGTATTTTAACCTTTTTTTTTTAATAAAATTAATCCCATTTTGAGTCTTTTGATCAGCGAGATCATAACTCTTTATTTACATGACTTGGTCTAGTGGAAGTAATTTTACCTTTAGGAATGTGGGATCTGTCAGCCCTGGGATTTATTCCATGCTGTGTTACATCTTGCTTCTGTTTGATGTTCTCTTTAAATGCACTGGAGCACACTTGCGTGTTTGGACATGCCACACCTCTCTCATGCTGCTGAAATAATGGAGCATGTCTGTTAATTAAGTGGGTTATGTTAAATGAAAGTGAAGTAAAATTTTAAGGATTTCTGTGTTCCAGTTGTGGTGCATTTAATTTGGCTTCATTTTTAGTCTCTGACATCCAGCTTCCTGATACGATTTAAAAACTTTCATCCACCTTAAGCATTTCAAGCTGGAGACTGCCAGTGTTCGTTGCTGCAGCGAGAAGGGCTTGCACCTCAAAGAACTCATTTGGGAGATTGTAGTATGCCTTTTCTTCGTTGCTTATGACCCTTAGTTCCAGTCAGCTTATGCTTTTTTTAATGCATTACTGTGAGTTGAATTTGCTTCCCATACACTCAGCTGAGTTCCAGGGAAGGTCCAAGCAAGTCAAGGTCAAGGACAGAGCTTGATGAAGAGAAATAAAGTGGAAGAAAATGAAAACCACTTGCCAGTGGCAGCAACAAGGTGTTAATGAAATAGCACTGTTGAAGACATTTTACTTTCCTGTAAGAGATTTTGTCCCTGTGTGGATTGAGGGGAGCTTCTGTCTTGGAACTTGCACCTGGGCTTGAGCTTGTTATAAAGGTGTTTTGCAACACATCTAAGACACCAGTGTGTGATGCCTAATTCTGCTGGTATCCAGGCTGTATAATTTATCAAAATACCAAGAAAACTTCCAGCAGTGTTGAGAAGCTATGTGCTTGTAGTTAGAGTTCACTTGAAATTCTTTTTGCTTCAGATCTTGACCAATACTGGATACCTTATTGCTGGATAAATTTCTGGTTTAATCATGTTTTGCGTCTTTCTGTCTGTTTCCAAGAAAGAGTAATTAATTGCTCAAGTTTTTGCTTCTAAGTGACAGTGATCTGTGCATGCAGATCATTCCGTGCATATGGTGTAGGCTTTTAGCTCTGGCTAGTTGTGGCTGAAGGCTTGAGAGAAGATGTAGCAGTTGTTTAGGTGATGTGGTAGCTATATAGATAGAAAAGTGCTTCTGGTCCTGCAAGTGTGGTTTCAGAATCCCAGTGTTCCAAAAGAAGATGCACAAGTTGGCTCACAATTTGGAAGCAGGTTTGTAAATTACCCTATGCTTATCACAACACAGAGAACAGGGAGCACCTATAGAAGATGACTGCCACTCCTGTGTCGTAGTGTGGCTGACTCAAGTAGACTGTACTGAAGTGAGGTGAAGTGTGAGGTCAGGAGGAGGGAAGAGGATTTACAGTACTGGTGTCTGGTATACATCCTCACCAGTGAGGAACTTCCAAACCCTCACACCATTGCCCTGTGGTGGTGTGAAAGGAACTGGGAGTTGCGTGCACTGAAGTGCCACTCTAGGAATTTTCATTTCTTACATTTCACTTACTTTTTTTGTGCAGTTTTAGTTTGAGGGTGACCTTACAGGATTATGGGGTTTGTGTAGACTAATACTGTGTGATGCTTTATCTCTGCCTATCCAAGTGTGTTGGCAGCAGATAGTGCGCAATGCCTTGCACGTCATCTTGTCTTACAGTTCAGTTCATGACAGCAAGAGCTTTGAAGACAACTTCTGTCCTCTGCCTTAAGCCCATAATGTTCTCAGAACAACTCTTTAAAATAGAATTTTCCGGAAAAATGAGTAGTAGAATTTTACAGGAAAGTATCACTTTTGAAAACAGGTAAATTGTTTTGAGGGAGAACACATCTCTTGAATGTCTATTTTTGCTTTTTTTATTTTCCTGAAATGGATGTTTTAATAACATGGACTTCACAACTTCTTTCTGTTATGTCTAGTTAACTAGTGTAAAAAAATTCTTTCTCTACAGTGATTGCTGTTGGCTTAGCCAGAAGAGGTTGTTTTAAGAACTTAGATAAGGTGTAATGCATCGTAGCTCTTGGGTTTATTTGGTTTTGGGCTTTTTTAGAATGAAGATAACATTTTGGATTACAACTTACAGTTTCTCATCATTTGTAAGCTGTTGATAAGCCTTACTTCAAATACAAGGATTTAAAATCTGCAGTAAGCTTTTTAAATACTTTGCAGTATTGTTGATTCTAAGATTTTTGTGGGAGATATTAAAGTGCAATTAGGTCATATTTTTAGATCAGCACATGCTTTCTTGAAAAAAAACTAGATTAAAAAGCTGGCTGCTGATTGCTATTTAGCAGACTTCCTCTTCAGGGTTGTGGTGTGTCTGTGTTCCCATTACAGTGTGCTTGTAACAAAACCCGGAACCACACCCCATTGTATTACTCTAAATTCACTCTGTATTGTATTGTATTACTCTAAATGGAGTTGATGGTTTTCTCCCCCTGTTGATCTCCTCAGTGTAAGCAGCTGTTTGCTGGAAAGCACATGATGGACCCCTGAGTTTTCAACAGGCCAGGAAGAACTATCTTTCAGCTAATGAGAAGTTAATAGGCACATTATCTCTGGAATAAATCGAGGAAGTGATTGAAAGCTTTGTTGATGTTGAATTTTTCAGAACATTTAACACTGCAAGTTAAACTTGTATTCAACAAGCATCTTGCATCCATCTGAAGAGGAGAATCGTTGATCATCAAACAAATGTTATGAAATGCATCAAAGAGTAGAATTGGGAAGACAGCACTTGTGATACCCCAAATAACAATAAGACATTTACTCTTCTAATTCACTGAACTTTCACCATGGCTGTACATTGTTAGTGTGCCTGTAGCATCTCTTCTTGCTCTGTCATTTGGAAAGTATAACTTTTTGTACATCCAACATGTTTGTGAGATGTCACCCAGTGCTCTGTCAGGAACTCTGTGGTCTCGTCATGTGATGTAGCCCAAGTGTTCAGATAAGTCCCTTCCACCTTAGTAGAGTTTACATGAATTGAAGCCTAAATAAAGTTTTGGTAAATGAAGTAAACCAAGTGTCATTTGCTGCTGTATTGTAGTTGTTGAGGATGCACCCAATGGAATATTAAATCTCTACTAGAAGAGCAGAAGGGGAGGTTGTAATGCAAAACAAAAGGGTTTCTCTGCAGCCTTAGTCCACACAGATCAAAAAACAAGGCAGCAGCAATAACAATCTCCATGCCCTAAATTTGCCACAGAGGCAGACCATAACTAGGTGATTACTTTCAGGCTATGGATCTTTTGTCCTTGAATCCTTTTAGTGCTGTATGTTCACTGTAAGCCATAGCTTCAGCTGTGATTGTGAACTTGGTTCTTCTCTCTTCTATTCCCTTTTCGTCTGCTCACAAAACTAAGGAAAGTGCTTTTAAGTGGAAAGCTTCCTGTATGCCAAGCAGTTACTAGAAGTCGTTTTGTATTTTGATCCTACCATTTTTCAGCAGCTCTTTTGAGACAGCTCTTTTTAAACGTCCTTTTAAACATTTGCCTGATGCAAGAAAATTTTTTGGAAATAGTGTAGTTGTAACTTGCCCTGCAGCCCAAAAGGTGTACATAGCTTGACAAGACAAAAGTAGTAAACATAATTTGAAATCATAGCAACTTTAATGATGAGGGTGTCACAGGAGAGCTTTTTCATATTGCTTACAATCTATGGCTCGGAAATAATGAAAAATTCTGTCTCATTGCTATGACAGACAATGCAAAGTACACTAAATTCCCAGTGCTTCGCTGAAAAAAGTATAGTAATTGCGTTCAGTGGTAACCTGAGGATGTTGTTACTAAGGACTTACCTTGCCCTTACCAAGTTTATCCATCCACGAAGAAGGGGAGCCCAATTTCAGGAAACCAGGAAGTCATTTCTTACTCTCTATAGGACCTTTGTCATTTAGAGTGTTCTTGGAAGTCTTCAATCAGAAAGCTGCTAATACATAGCATCTCAAAATATTTTTGTAGAAATCAGTTGTGTAAATGTCTCTACACTCTGCCTTTGGTGTATTTAGTGAAAATGAAAAGGGTGTTTCTTTCACCTGTACTGCATAGATGCAATTCAAGGAAAAGTCTGTACAATGTGACAGCAAAGGCAACTCAACTCTACAGTTTTTTAGGCTGTGGTCAAAAAAATCCTTTGATTTAGGCATAAATACAACAAATAGTTCAATACTGTCATAAACTCCAGTTTTGGTTGTAATGCTGTTCTGGTTTTTATAAAATTTTCTTCTGAAAGATTGTGGATTATACTTGTTAGTTTATTCTCATTTGTAGAGTCTCTAATCCTACTCCTTGTCTGTTAAATCATCTTTTTACATGATCATCTTTGTCCTAATCTTTCCTTATAAAAAGAAATTGCTCTAAGTAAGCTGGAAACTTGGCCTTAAATTTATTTTTAAGGAGGTGAAGAGAACTGGTTAACAAAAATGGGATTCACCATAGAAACAACTCAGCCAATAGTATATATGCAGTAAATTAACTATTCCATAGTACTTTCATATTTGATACAGAACATAGCAACAAGATGATGGCTTGACAACAATAGCATCTGCATGTAGTTTTTTTTCTCCTTTTTTGAAAAAATTTTCTTGTGGGAAAAAATAGATTCCCTGGAAAGTAATTTATATTCGAAGTTTCATCACAAAAATTCTGTGGGTGGATACAATAGCCTAGAAATTAAATTAGAGATTTGTATAATAAATGATAGGTTTGATTTGATGTGACACTTCTAGTCTCTTACAAGTGACATAGCTACAGGCAATAGAATAATCTCTTCCCCTTGTGAAGATAAGTGTTGTATCAGGCCACACTATCTTATATTAAATTACAACTTCGCTTTTTTTTTTTTTTTTAACCATATGAAAAGATTCATGAGACTCTTCGTTAAATAATAGCATGACCCAATTATAAAAGTGCTTTGGCCAAAATGTCTTGAAGATATTTTCTACTGTCAGGCATGTGATTAATTTATGTAGGGAACTGCCATAACAGACCTGATCTGAATAAAGAAATTTTCCTTTATGCAGCATGTGGCATGATTGTGGCCATACTGAGCTAGAAGGTGCTTTTCTTATCACAATTCAACAGAAACCTTTAGGTAGAAATGAAGTATGATAAGAGGAATCTGATAGTTTGCTGTCTTTCTTGCAGGAAAGAGGTTTATAGTATGTGTGGCTCTTATACAACTTGATTGTACTCAGACCATTATTTTTCATGTTTTGACAGAGAGAAGGAGCAAGAAAGGGAAGAACAGTTAATGGAAGACAAGAAAAGGAAGAAAGAGGATAAGAAAAAGAAGGACTCTGCTCAGAAGGTGGGTTTTAATATTTGAATTCTTTTATCCAGCTGAAACATAAATAGTATTGGTGGTAATAAGATGTTAAATTGTTTGTATTTGAACTTAGAAATTACTGCTTAGAGTGGTGCTTCTTTAAAGACACTTTTTTGCATAATTTTCCTGGAACTGAAATGTTTCAGTTGGATATTTCTTCTCCTTAGAGTGCTATGTAAAATAAAAGAATTTTTTGATAGAAGGTATTTAAGTTACTTAATATGATTTATTTAGATCTCTCTCTACACAACTGCTGCTTGTTTGAGGTGTTTGTGGATTAAAATACTGATAAGCTTTTGCAATTCTTGCAGTAAAGTTGAATAAATATTTATTAGAACAGGAAGATCCTTATATTAAAAACCATAAGGAAGCTTACATTAAATATTTACTACTGAAGATTCAGTTTGTTTTTTGCTAAGTATTACTTGCATTTTACGTTTTCTGTGGCTAATAGCACTTTTGCTGAAGTCTACCAGTTCAAGTCTAAGTTGTGGAGAATTTGTTAGTCACCAAAAATTGGTTCTGCTCAGAAAACGAGTTTGAAACTTGGTGTATTAGAAGGTCTGTATTTTGCAAAAAAATCTTGCAGGTTGTTCTGGGAATTAACTTGACATAAGAGCTTGAGTCTTTTAGGGCGTCACTCTTGGTTTTTACCAGTAAAATCCTTTCTGGGCTTCCCAGTGTAAGATAGGTGTAGCCACCCTGGAGCAAGTTCAGCAGAATGCCTTTAAGATGATTAAGGGACTGGAGGATCTGACAAATGAGGAGAGTCTGGGAGCGTTGTGACTGTTCCTCCTGGAGGAGAGGAGGCTTGGGGCATCTCATCAATAGTATATTAGTGCTTTGTGGAAGGGAGTAACAAGACAGAGGCAGACTCTTCTCCACGGTGCCCAGTGGCAAAGCATAAGGCATAATGTACATATTGAAAGTCTGCCTAATCATAAAAAGCCTCCTTCTTTGTGCATGTATGTGGCTGGACAGCCACTGGAACAGGTTTTCCAGAGGGGTTGTGGTGCCTCTGTCTTTAGATGCTCAAAACTGAGTTTCACATGGTCCTGTGCAATCCAGTTGTGATGATTGTTTCAGATTGAGGAGCCTCTTGGGGCCAGGCAGAGGACAAGGGTAGGAACTGTAGATTAGGTTTCCAGAGGCTGTCCTTTCCAATGTCAATGACTATGTGAAACTGAGAGCAAAAGGCTTTTCTTTATTTCAGTAGTCTGTGTTTCAGTTGCTTCAGTAATGGGTCAGGTGATGAAAGATCAATGTTTACTCTTAGATTCTGTGGGTTTCTGCTGAGAGCAGACAGCACCAACTTCAGTTGAATTTTGGCTTATCCAGGGTCTTTTTTAGTCTGTTTTTTTCACCAATTTGAGTCTATCAGTTTAAACTGAGTGCTGATAAATGTGTATCAGCTGTCTTCATCCAGTTTATGGATCCCCAAATAACAGTGCAAAAGAGCAGTTGCTACAGATAAGGTCTCTCCAGTGTCTTTCTGCCTCCGTGTTGATGCTATTTAATGTTCAAGTACAAAAAATATATGTAGAAACCAGAAAGAGCAGAACCTTATGAATAAAGAGACTTGAGGATTATGAGCTGATAGTCAGTGATAAAAGGGAAACTTGAAAAGGCTGTGCTGATCATCTTGATAACAGTGCTATGTTTACTGAGGAATTGATGCTTTGAATACAAAAGAGATTTGCCAGCTTTCCTGTGTGGTCTCTCACCTACAAAGTTGTTCAGTACATATTCTGCCACACTCTCAGGAGGGCTAAAGACTTAAGTAATTTAATCTCCTAGAGGCCAAACTTCACAGTAATACTTGGAGATAGCTAAGAATAGCAAAGCAGGCAGCCAAATGGATGAAATGTAAATGTGTGTGTTCATTCTTAGTGACTCTGGAGGTATTCACCAAATAAGCAGCAATGATTTCAGGGTACCATTTTCAAACTAAGTTTGTTTAACATGAAACAATTGTTCTGTCTGGTTCACCTGAAACCTTAAAAATTAAATTTAAAAAAAAAATCACTTAAAGAGAGGCAAGCAAGCTGACAGCTTAAATATATGTAATTGGTGTCCAGGGGGCTGTTTTGGTAGCTTGTCAGTAGGCTGAGATTTATTCAACCTTCCCGTTCACTGTAGCTGCTCCTGCTCTACTGATGCTCATAGGTTGCTGAGTAAATCTGAGACATTGTCATATTTATTTCAGCTTTTGAGTTTTAGATGAAAATTATCACAAAACCAGATCATTTTGACTAGGAGAGGGACATTATAGGCAGAAGGTTTTTTGGTTGTTTTTTTTCTCTCTAAAGTAGCTTGTGTTTATCATGTAGAATTTTTCAAGGATTCAATGAAATTTTTTTTATCCAAGTAGACAAGTTACTAATTTACTAAATGTGTATACTGTTGACTACAGTAAACCTATCAGCATTACCAGATTGTAATAATTAGTATTTTTTCCCCTTTTCCTTCAGTCAAGCGTCAGGGTCAGTTAAGTGTGTAGCAGAATTTTTAACTGTTACAGAAGATGATGTATTTGATGGGTATGGGATTTTTCATAAGTGAAGTTGAAAATTTAATGTCTGGCTTGGTACTGACATGATTTTGGTACATAAATTTTTATTGTCCTTGAGGCTTTGGGTAGTATATATCTGTGAGGTTACAATGCTTAAGATTTTGTATTTTAGTCAGTGTTCCACTTTGCATATTGCAGTTTTCATCTTTTCATCTTTCCGAAGTGAATGATGCCATAGCAATTTAGTGCAGTTTGTCTTTTTATTCTTTACCATACAAAGGAGTTCTGGTTTGGTTAGTTTCAACAATAAACTGCTTTTTACTTGTGCTTTCATTATTCTATACTGTTGCTGTGTGCTTTCCAGAAATATGGACTAGTTCAGCAATTTCATTTAAGTATAGGTGTCATAGAACCTGACACATGATGATCTTTACAGTTTTTTTCATTATTCTATAGTGGAACTCATGATGGGCAGGTTCAAAAAATGGTACAATACACATGATTCCAGAGAATATACCAGAGATGTGCTTGTCGCTACTTTAGTTTGAAATCTGTTATGCTGAAACAATGTAGGATACAGCAAAACCCATATTGAGTATGTTGGCCAGTGTGAATGCTCATTTCAGTCATTGACTTCTTGTTGCATTCAGTAGATTTACTTTTTAGGTGTTGCTGGTAGTTTTTGTAAGTGTGGAAATGAATCCAGTAAGGTTTAAAATTACTTCTCTTTAGAAGAGATGTTCTGGGAAAGGTGAAATGGGAAGATGGCAAAGAGACAGACTGCTGTGGTTACTTCAGGCCCCAACAGTTCAATGTAAGGATACTCTCACAGAAGGAAGGCTGTGTTACACTTTAAGTGAAATACTTCACCTCCGAAATCTGAGAGAGCTGTAGTGCTATAACACATGTTTATTTGTGATTTGGAAGCCCATGTTTGGGATGAGGAGGAGGATTGAGTACTTAAAATCATGAGTGAAGTATGATTGTTTCTGCCAGGGACTTCTGCATCAGGCAGCATTATTACAGGAGTTGTAGTACTTTGAAAACCTTGTATATTTATGTGTATATATAACTAGGAATATTATTTAGACTTGCAGTTCATCGATTGTTTTCATTCAACAAAAAATTCTGATCTTGTGCTAATAGGTTAAGATTGTGATTTAGCACATGTTCAGTGTTTGTTTTGCGCTGCTTAAAACTGTATTTACATTCTTGTTCTTAATTTGCAGGTCACAGATCAAAAAACCAAAGGTAAGAGTCTTTGATCCTAAGGAGTACTTTTATTGACTTGAGCCATGATTCAAATCTTTATGAAAACTGTTATAAAAGGAAGGGGACTTATGAGTAAAGATGAAATACTGAATATGAGTATTCAGAAGAAGTAAGTTGAGGTGATTAAAATGGAGAAGCTACAACTGTTCTGCATATGTGTTGTCAGCATTGAAATACTTGAAGAAAGAATGAGGATTGTGGATAAGATAGGTTAGCTGATATGCTCAGTTCTCTGTTTTACAACCGTTTTAGACAAAAAGCCAAGACTGAAACCACTTCTGTAAAGGGAATGAAAGACAGCAAAAATCCTGCTTGCTCATTGTGAGGTACCAAAATGAATAAAAATTACTTGAGTTTGGAAACTTAGATTCAGGCACACAAAAGTCCAGTAGAGAAGACAGGACTGATGAGTGAGCATCTTGAAAGTTGAACTAAATAACTTAGCTGTTGGAAAAATACATTTAATCTTATTTTGTGTATCAGTTTCTGATAAATTTTGTGGGGAAATTGCCATTAGTGAAAGAAAAGTAATAAAATAGTGACTTGATTTTATGGCTAACAGTACCTTTTTGGGGTTTGGGCAATGAAGCCTATCTAAAAAATTGGAAAACCCTTATAAAAATAAAATGTTGAGAATTAATGCATTCATGTTGCCAAAGAGAGACCTACTTGTGTTGATCACACATTTGTAAGAATAAAAGTTTTACTGATTATGATTAGTTTGTCTAGAGTCTCTTAAGCAAATTTTGTGATGGTGTTAGCTCCTCAAGGATTTGTGGTTTTCTTCTCCAGTGTATAATGGTCCTCAGGAGCAGATTGTCTTGCTTATAGGGGCACCTGGTGACCAGCAGGGAAACCTTAAGTGAGCCAAACACAGTTGCTCTTTGTAGGACTGTCTTTCGGGTGAGAGTCAGCTGTTACTGCCTTTCTTAAGAGCAGCACAGAAAACTCAGATTTGTTAACTCCAAATCCAAAAGGAGGCAGGTTATTTCCCATCTTTTTGTTTGTTTAGGCAGCTGCTGTGTAGCCTAGTAAACAGGTGAAAACTTGGTTTCTGATTTCAGATTTCTCATTGGATGATGATGCATTATAATCCAAAAACTAGTTCAAGATCAGGAAGGTGGAGCCAATTATATTTGCTCATATTTTAAAATTGCTCACTGTCTAGGGTATATTCTTTGCCAACTTTACATTTGCAAGGAATTTTGGGTTTAGAGCAAAATTGATGAGCACAGAGTTTAATCCTAGACTGCAGAGTTGCACATGAAAGCAAAAGGTCTGCTGCTACTGCTTATTCCTGCTTCTTTAAATTGTTTTTGGTTGTTGAGAAGGTGGAAGCTGCACAGTATTTCAGAGATTAAATAACAAAAGCCAAGAGTCACAGTGAGTTCTTGTAGCTAACGCAGGTTTAAATGGAAAAACTTCTGATTTTCATCCTTCCTGTTTTTCAGTGCCCGAAGTGACGAAACCAAGTTTAAGCCAACCAGTGGCTGCCAGCCCAATTGGCAACTCTCCATCGCCACCAGTCAATGGTGGCAACAATGCCAAAAGGGTGGCAGTGCCGAACGGACAACCGCCAAGCGCCGCCCGCTACATGCCTCGGGAGGTGCCGCCGCGATTCCGTTGCCAGCAGGACCACAAAGTGTTACTGAAACGTGGGCAGCCTCCTCCGCCATCCTGCATGCTCCTTGGGGGTGGAGCAGGGCCTCCCTCCCCAGCAGCACCAGGAGCAAACCCAAACAACGCACAACCAGTGACAGGAGCACTGCTGCAGAGCGACAGTGGGACTGCAACAGGCAAGTGATGATAAGAAGTGTTGTTAAATGAGCGCTTTGGTGCGTGGCAGAAAAGGCATGGCTGAAATTGTACATTAAGGCTGTCATTAAACCACAAAACTCAGGTCGCTTTTGGGGAGTTTTTGCTGTTTCAGTGTATAGATTTCTGTTTGCAGCAATGGATATAATTTTTTACTCGATGGAAAAAGAGGTTTAATTTTTTTCAAGTATATTTTGAGTAGTTTTAATTGGTTGCTGAAATGCTCTGCAGCAAGGTGAACACAAGGCATAAATAAACAGCACTTCATGGTTGTCACTGAGTAGTTCCTAATGGCTCTTCAGGTTTCTTTGACATGAATTTCCTGTCTTGTCACATTTTTGTCTCATCTTGTAAAACAGACGTGTAGATGCCCAGTCTGCAAAGGGCAGGTGTCTGCCACGTCTTGTCTGGATGAAACAGAAAGGCGACCTATTGCTCCTCACTCTTTATTTTGGTAGTAATCTTATTTTTTGTACGTGGATAAGCTGTTTTTTACAAATGGTGGCTATTCTGTTTTTACTTTTCCATTCATTTTGTGTTCCAGAAGATAAATTGGTTTTGGGGTTGTTTTGTGGGAATGGGAAAGTTATAGCTGCTCCTGAATTTTTTAGACCTTCGTGAGTTGCAGGAGCTGTAATACTTCTTTAATTATAATAGTAGAACAAACAAAATTATGCTCAAAATACCTGCCTTCTAAAGAAAGACTTAGGTGACCTAAAAAGTCAAGGACAGCTTTAATTCTAACAATAAGGATGTTTAAAAAAGAATAAATTAAATACTTGAAAGTCAAAAAAGAAGCAAATAACAATACCAGTATGTCTGAGTTTTCTTTGAAAATCATGCCAGATCAATGGGATGATGATTTTTTTTTACCATTGTGGAAATCAAACTTTTTAAAATTCTCTGTGGTTTGGAATTAAAAACAGAGGTGACTTGTACAGAATCAAGTGAGCTAGGTGGGATGGCTGTCCTTAACAAATAGGATTCTAGGAAAATTAATAATTCTATTTGTTTTGTGGTTTCACTACTTGAATTCATTTGTAGCAAATCCCTGTTTGACAGAGTATTTATCTTGTCTTTCATAATTGCTGTATAATGAAGGAGAAAGTGGGTGTCAATGTACAATGACAAAACTTTAACTTACCAGTTTCAAAACAGATGTCTTGGAGATAACTTTTGATAAAACACCTGAAACAAAACATGCCCTAGAGTCTATGGTTCCTATATAAAATCCTAGCACTGGTATGCCTTCACAGTTACTGTAGTAGACTGACTAAGGAAAATTTGTGGTGGCAAAGCATTCTAAAAGTTTTCAAAACTTCTCCTGAGTAACATTTTTTTGCTGTTGGATATACTATATGAGGACCATTTTGAAGTATTTTGAGAGGCTCCTTAAGTTGTATGTAATTATTTGACATTTAGTATTTGTTTTTCTGAGACTGAAATTTGGTATTACGAATTCTCATGTTTTTACACTTCATTTAATGGCTCCTTAATAAGTAAGAGGTTACATGGCTGTATTAGCCAGTGGTTAGTGTCATTATCCTCATGTAAGTCAGGAGTGCCAGGAAAGGTACTAGTCCTTGAGACCTGCCTCATCCCATCCATTTTTCTGCACCATAACGAGTTAACTGGGCTGGGGATCTGACTTGTATTAAAATTAAATCAGGTTTGTTTTTAAAGCCGATTTCAATCTGGATGGCTTTTACCCATTCACCTAACTGAACATCAGTGAGAATATACATGCTAGCATGTGAGAGTAGGTGTGCTAGAGGAGTGGGAATGAGCAGGTGAACAAGAGAGAGACTGGAACTCCTTAGGTGCTCTGTCCAAGTGCTTGTGGAAGTGCAGTGTTGTTGTCTGCCTCTTACATCATTTATCCCACCTCAGATCTGGCTGTTGACAAACTGAACTTCAGTTTTGGCCCAGTTTGGTCAAGCATATAAGTACTAATACTGTGGTTAAATTCATGCCGCATGAAAGAACACAAAAGTGGGGAGATGATGTAGCTTATCTACTTGCTCACGTTCTTATATTAACCAAATGGCCATAGGTGGTGTTGGTGAGGATTTAATACTAAAAGTCAACACATAATCCTTCTTCACATGGACATTTTTCTACCAGGATTGAAATCCTTCTGGCAAAACTAGTGCCCTGAAAGATGACACCAAGTATATTGTTGTCTCATGCCAATGCAGGGGACTGAGATGATGGGTGTTCTATGCAATTCTTCGAATACCAATGGTAATTCAGACAGTTTTGGACTAAAAGGTTTAAAGCGTATTGGTAAAAGTCTTTCAATAGATGTGATTATTGTCGCTGTCAAATACAGCAAGGAAAGGCTGGTTTCATAAAACAATCCATTAAATTGTGTCTTAGCATGCTATATGTGAGCAAGCACCCCTGTCTTAATACTTTTAGAATGTCTTCACAGAAATTAAATGTTCCGTTAAAGTCACTGATTTGAAGATCTTGCTAAGTTCAGGGCTGCCTATGCATCATTCATTGGCTGAACTATTTCTAAGTTCAAAATCTTGCCACCTTGCAGTCTTTTGAGCTTGTCTTTGTCTGTCCTCCTTAAGCTCTTCCTGTGATCAGTCTAATCAGAAAGTTTTTTAATTGGAGGGGGAAAAAAGGGTTACTCTGTGCTAAAAAGATAGACGGATAAAAATATCAGTGGAGTCATACTTCCTTGCTATTGTTCAGTTTTCATTTAAGGTTAAAGCAACAGAAGGAACAGAAAGTACTTGGGAACTGCTTGATCTTTTGGATCTTGGTGGGTGAGATTTAGTGGTTGAGGACAAACTACTGTCCAATATTCAGAGTTTACAAGGGAGTTCTAACCTTGCTGTTGAGTCTGGATCCTCATTGGTGACCTCAGTGAAGGAGGATATGGAAGGCATTCATTGGATGTTCACTGTTTAAGCTAATGAACTGAAAGCCTCAGACGGGCACTGAAAGCTGATCTTATCTTCCATTGAAAGTGCTAGCAACCAGAAATTGTGATCTTTACTTTGGAATATATGACACAGGAATTGAGGCTGTGAGAGCAGTTACTCACCCAGTTTTTTAAGCTGTTTGATTTATTTTCATGGAAGCTGTCCTATGAGCCAGTACTGGTAGTAACAGTATATATTAACTTACGAATACTGTTGCAGCTGTTACTATGGAGTTTATGCTCTGCAAAAAAAGGGGGATAACTGATGTCAGAAATCTGATGTTCTATGTTTGTAAATAATACGGTTTACTAATGACCTTTTTGGGTTTTTTGTTTTGTTTTTTCTTTCAGATTCAGCAATTGGAGGTGCTGCTGCTTCAAATTATGCAAATTCCACTTGGGGTCCTGGAGCCTCCTCCAACAGCGGCACCAACGCCAACCCAACTCACATCTGGGACAAGGTGATTGTAGACGGGTCTGACATGGAAGAGTGGCCTTGTATTGCCAGCAAAGATGCTGAGTCTTCTTCCGAAAACACCACCGATAACAACAGTGCCTCGAACCCTGGCTTGGAGAAGAACGCTCTGCCAGGAAGCACCACTAGTAACAAAGGAAAAGGAAGCCAGTGCCAGTCTGGAAGCGCTGGAAACGAATGTAATCTTGGGGCCTGGAAATCTGATCCCAAGGCTAAATCTGTTCAATCTTCCAACCCTGCTGCCGAGAGTAACAATGGACTGGGTAATTGGAGGAACTTGAGTGGACAAGACAGAATCAGTCCCGGTTCTGGTTTCAGCAACTTTAACCCAAATAGCAACCCATCTGCTTGGCCAGCACTGGTTCAAGAGGGCAATTCTAGGAAAGGAACTCTGGAATCTGATAGTGGTAGCTCCAATGCACAGATTAGCACAGTAGGTCAGACCTCTAGGGAACAGCAGTCAAAGATGGAAAATGCGGGTGTTAACTTTGTCTCTGGCAGAGAACAGGCTCAAATTCATAACACTGATGGACCAAAAAACGGAAACACTAACTCCTTGAACTTAAGTTCACCAAACCCTATGGAGAATAAGGGAATGCCCTTTGAAATGGGCTTGGGGAACCCTTCCAGGAGCACTGACACCCCTTCTCAAAGCACTGGAGAAAGAAAGACTGGGAGTGTTGGATCTTGGGGTACAGCTAGGGGGTCTTCTGGAACTGACACAGTCTCTGGGCAGAGCAATTCTGGAAACCATGGGAACAATGGAAAGGATAGAGAGGACTCCTGGAAAGGAGCATCTGTTCAAAAACCTAATGGGTCAAGAAGTGATTCTTGGGATAACAATAACCGGTCTACGGGTGGTGGGTCTTGGAACTTTGGCCCTCAGCATGCAAACGAAAGCAAATGGGGTGAAGGGAACAAATTAACATCTGGGGTCTCTCAGGGAGAATGGAAACAGCTGTCTGGGTCTGATGAACTGAAGATTGGAGAGTGGAGTGGTCCAAACCAACCAAATTCTAGCACTGGAGCATGGGACAATCAAAAAGGCCACCCCCTTCCTGAAAACCAAGGCAATTCCCAGGCTCCCTGTTGGGGAAGATCTTCCAGCTCTGCGGGAAGTGAGGTTGGAGGTCAAAGCACTGGAAGCAACCACAAAGCAGGAAGTAGTGACAGTCACAATTCTGGACGCCGATCATACAGGCCTACGCATCCTGATTGCCAGGCAGTCCTGCAGACTTTGCTGAGCAGGACTGACTTGGACCCCCGAGTGCTTTCAAACACCGGCTGGGGCCAGACTCAAATTAAGCAAGATACCGTATGGGATATTGAAGAGATGCCACGGCCCGAGGGGAAGTCTGATAAAGGAACTGAGGGGTGGGAGAGCTCTGCCACACAGACAAAGAACTCAGGGGGCTGGGGCGATGTACCCAGCCAAAGCAATCAAAACAAGTCTGGATGGGGTGAGCTCTCGACCCCAACGGAGTGGAAGGACCCCAAAAATACTGGAGGATGGAATGACTATAAGAACTCCAATTCTTCTAACTGGGGAGGAGGAAGGCAAGAAGAAAAATCATCTTCCTCTTGGAACGACAGCTCTAGTAAGGATCAGGGGTGGGGTGGACGGCAAACTAATCAAGGATGGTCTTCTGGAAAGAACGGTTGGGGAGAGGAAGTTGACCAAACAAAAAACAGTAACTGGGAAAGTGCAGGAAACAAGCCAGTGTCTGGTTGGGGTGAAGGTGGGCAAAATGAGATTGGAACTTGGGGTAATGGTGCAAATACAAGCTCTGCTTCAAAGGGTGGATGGGACGATTGTAAAAGAACTTCAACATGGAATGAGACGGGTCGACAGCCCAACTCCTGGAACAAGCAGCAGCAACAGCACCAGCAGCAACAGCAGGAGTCTTCTGGTTCCTGGGGTCCACCACCCCAGACTCCAAGTAATGGGCGGCCTCCAAACTCAAACTGGAACAATGGGCCACAGCCAGCTGCCCCCAAAGAGGAGGAGCCTAGTGGCTGGGAAGAACCTTCTCCACAGTCAATCAGTCGAAAAATGGATATTGATGATGGCACTTCAGCATGGGGAGATCCTAGCAGTTATAACTACAAGAATGTGAATCTGTGGGACAAGAACTCACAAGGAGGACAGGCACCACGGGAGCAGAGCCTGCCTACTCCAATGACTAGCAAATCACAAGCATCAGGTAATTGTCTTGTTCCTTTCTTCAGCAAGCTCCGATGTATGCCTTGTAACCTTAATGCCTAGGAGAGATACTTGTAGCTGCCAGTTCCTGATAGTTGTATTCTATAAAGAAAACCAAATTCTTACTTGAATATTTGGTTCTGTATTTAAACTGTCTTTAAAATTTGAATCTGTCAGTCCTCTGCTTGTTGTGCTTCAGTAACTGGGATCATCTGAATACTGGTCACCTTGACAGGAAAAGAAAATGTTTATTAGGTGACAAATCTGCATATTCAATTTGAGCACTGAAGAACAGGTTGAATTACAGAATCAAAAACTTTTAAGACTGAGTCCAGCCATAAACTTAATAAGCCAAACACAGCTTAGTCCATGACTAAACCACGTTCCTCAGTGCAAAATCTTCAGGTCTTTTAAATACCTCCAGGGATGGTGACTCAACCACTTCCCTGGGCAGCCTGTTCCAGTGCTTGACAATCCTTTTGGTGAAAAGATTTTCCTAATATCCATTTGAAACCTGCCCTAGTGCAACTTGAGGCCATTTCCTCTTGTCCTATTTCTTGTTACTTGGGAAAAGAGACTGCCCTCAGCGTGGCTATAGCCTGCTTTCACATAGTTGTGGAGAGCAGTAAGGTCTTCCCTGAGCTTTCCTTTCTCTGGACTAAATAGCATTTTTGATACTTAAAAGTATTTTTTATATTTAGTCATTAGGGAAATGGGCAGAAAATATTGTTTTTAGTCAAAAATCTTTTGCTCTGAAACATTCAGTTAACACTTGAAATTAGTACGTCTGTGACAGTTTTTTAGTCAAGTTTGGCTTTGCTTTATGATAAAGAATACTTGGACAAGTACTTTCTTCTTTGGAATAAGGACAAGAACAAGTTTCATAGCCTGGAAAGGTATTAAGAAATTACTGTTATGTAATCTTTTCCTCTGACTCAAGGATACTTTAAGGAATGCTATCTTGGTTTAATACGTACTGCAAATATGACCTTTATTCAGTCTATAAAACCCCTAAGTTAGACGCTTGTAATTAGTCACAAAAGTTCAGATAAGAGGACAGTATTAGATGTGGGGTTCACATTTAACCTGGGAGAAAAATGTTACTCATCATAGCATTCTCTTCCTTTTCATCCCTGGAGGTCAGTGCCCTCTCTAAATTTGTTGTGAATGATTGTCAATTCTGTTGCACCCACGCTACTGAGAACCAGAACAAGAAGAAGGAAGCAGTAGATTAATGACGTGGTTCTGCACTGCAGTAAACAGTTCATTGTCTAAATGGTCTGTAATGAAACCTCTTTCTCCTTTGTGCAGTCTGGAGCAAAAGCACTCCACCTGCTCCAGACAATGGTACGTCCGCCTGGGGTGAGCCAAATGAAACCAGTCCCGGGTGGGGTGAAGTAGATGATACAGGAGCATCGACTACAGGCTGGGGGAATGCACCTTCCAACGCCCCGAATGCCATGAAATCTAGTGAGTATAGGCCAGATACCAGTTTCTTTGCAATTGCCTTGGAGGTGTTTTGTGTTTGGCCTTTTGACATAGGTCACCTGCGGAGGAATTGTTATCTCTGAGGCCTAAAAACAGTGTTGAATGTTTTTATAGGATTTTGATGGATGAATATCAAGTGTTTGTAAATGACTGAAACTTTGTTTTTTAAGGTAGTAAAAAATTATTTCCTAACTAAGCAATTAAATGAGCGGCTCTGATTTGGGAAGCTCTGAAACACAGTAAGGAAATGTGTCTTTTTCTAGCTTTCTCTTTCTGACTCCTTGTTAAATGATAGGTCACTTTTTCTGATGGTATCAGGAAAAGGCATGCACAGTACTGGCAAATTTCGCTGTGGAAGCCATTGTTATCTATGGTTTGGTAATGCAACTTGGCTTTGAATGGATTTTTTAATTGTTTAAGTGAGAAAAATTCTAACTCTTAAGAACTGCACTTTGTAGTAGAACCTAAATGCCTACTGCAGTGTCTTTCAGGAATAAGATATTGAAATATTTTGAAAATTTACTTCAAAGTTAAAATTTCACTATATTAAGAGTTTTTGTGGATATTATGCTTGATGATGTAAGTTGCTTGTATAATTTTTATTTCGCTCTTTTTTAAGGAAAAAGCAACAAACAAAAGCAATGTTATTGCCAAAGTCAGTAACATTTGGATGTGAAGTTTCCTGTAGGAACTACTGATGATACACAATTGTTACTGAACTTAACTTGGTGGTGCCCACTGTAAAACTGTTTCCAGCCCAGAAGTTGCTTTTGCAACATGCAATTGTTTGAAATGAAGTGCTGTGTAGATAGTTTGCTGTTGGGTCATTCTCCCTTCATCCCACCCCAATTAAATAATTTGGCCATTTCTGAAACAAAAAATCATTGCTTGCTTAGTTATCATTTATAGCAGGCTTTTGTGGATGAGAGGCTTCCCATGCCTGCCACATACACTTGGCATTTTAGGATGCTAAGCTGATTTTTTATCTATAAAAAGATACCTAAATATGACCAAAAGCAGAACTTTTGAAACTGATCCTTTGAAAATTCTTGATTTGATTGATTAGTGCTTAATACTATACGTGGTCACTCACTTACCATGACTGGTCTGTATGTGTGCCATAATCAAAGAGCTGCAACCTACTCATGCTGTTCTGCATGTGAGCTGTCCCCAGCTCTAGAGCAAAATCTAGGGTCAGGATACAGACTAGTTGTGATCAAAAAAGGAAAAAAATCAGTTTGGAGCCAAAGAAGGAAGCATAGATCAGTATCCACCTGTTTAGAATAGATTTACATACTTCTGTCAGCATTGCATAAAAATATTCTGGTAGAAATAGGAACAAATTCAGTTTTCTGTAATATATATTTTTTTTAATCTTGAAAATTTAATTTGTGTTCTATAGCTCTTGATACCTCCTTTCTCAACAAATGCAAAAAATTAAGCTGGTGTCATACAGACATGTCATCTTTACATCACTGTCCAGGTTAATGTTCAAGAGTCCTAGAGAGCTGTCAGTGCAGAAAAATAATCTGGTCATGTAGTATCATAGTGTATATTTAAGCACTGTCACCAGAAATAAATTAAAACTGCAGGGGCTACCTAGTATAACATTTCCAGATTGTGTTCTTTACTCTGCAGTCATAATACTTTAATGTAACCTTTTCTGTGTAAGTAGCCCGATTAAAGGGCCAAGAGGTAGATTTTTTGCCTATGTTTCATAAGCAGCCCTCAGTTTTAGTCCCCAATTGAACAGACTTTAAAAAGGTGTCTCAACTGAAGTATCTGAGGGTTTATTTATGATGCGTTTTAAGTTACCTCTTAAACCACCATAAAATGCTGCTGTACTTATTTTCATTATGGGCAGGGTAGAGATCCCCATGGTAGATTAGTTGGAACTCCTGGCTTTTCTTATATTCAGACTTTCTGCTATGTGTCTTAATGTCTTTATTCCTGATTTCCTCACTCAAACCCCAGACAATTAAAAAATTTGTTACTACAAAGGAGATAATGATGATGGTGGAAATCTATTTTAAAGTAGATAAATACTAAATAAATACAGGAATAAATGTGCAGAATGAAGAGTTAGAGCAGGAAGAAATTTGGATAGTGGACAGAATGAGGACTTGGGCTCCTGATGGCCTGTCAGTAAAGGTTAGAATTCCAAGTTGCATGACAGTGCTAGAGAGTAACAGCAAGGAGCCAACAGGGAAAAATCTGAACTGATACAGTGAAGGAGTTGTAGCTTTCTGATGTACTTAAACAGCCCTGCTAGTAAGTCTCCTTAGTAACATTGTTAGGAATAGAGTTTGTAGTAGAGGAGGGGGTTTTTTTGTTTGGTTTGGGGTTTCTTGTTTTTGTTTTGGGGATTTTATGTTTTGTTTTCTGTTGGTTTAAGTTTTTTGGTTTTTTATTAAACTGCTTTTGATGTTGTTTGTACCAGAGGACAGTGTTAGGTCCTTGCTTTCAGATTCTACTTAGTTGTTATTCCTGAATGTTGTTTGTTTCTGTCATTTTGTGGAAGAATGTCGGACAAGGGGAGTATTTAGGTTTTGTAATGAGAGAGGAAATAACTGATAAGCCACCTGAACCAGAGTCTTCAGCACCCCTGGTTTTTTGAGTGTGCTTTGAAGGCTTTCGTTTGCACTTGGAAGTAATAGGTTGCCTTTTAAATGCGGCTGTATCTGTATAAGAGGTCCCTATTGCTATTATATCTTTAAAGGTTTGACATTTCTTTAAAATAGTTGCAAAACATGACATGCGAACATGCCACCAAATCTCTTGGGTTTTGGGGTTCGTGCACAAGTTTTTACAGCTGTTAGAGCAAGGCACATTTTTGATTTTTTTTTTTTGATTTTTTTTTTTTTTTAAGTTCCTTTGGGATTCTGATGATTTCAGCTAATGTTGCAGTGTCACATCACCAGCTGCATGGTGTTGTAGACTGCTTTTGAGCTTGTTTTTTTTCTTTTACTAAAGGTTCTAAATCTATGCAAGATGGCTGGGGAGAGAGTGATGGGCCAGTGACAGGAACACGTCATTCCAGCTGGGAAGAGGAGGAGGAGGGAGGAGTCTGGAACACAGCAGGCTCTCAGGGAAGCAGTTCCTCCCACAACTCAACAAGCTGGGGACAAGGAGGAAAGAAAACACAAATGAAGGTAAAATGCTTGAATGATTCATTACTACTGGGTAGTCTGAAAACAGTCTGACTGATACGTTAGAGCATTATGTAGTTATTTTTTAAGAAGGTTTTGCAGAGTTACAGAAAGGTGCCTCTGAAACAGCGTAAAAAAATGTGAGGTTTTTGGATTTGCGTTAATATATTACACCTGTTATGACTAATAAATCTTCCAGTAGGTGTCAAATTCTTCTGGTTTGTAAGCTGCACAGCCATTACTAAATGAAAATAAGTATCCCAAGGCTATTTCTCTTCTCCTGCTGACACATCTTCCTGTTAGGCTGCTCCTGTTGTTCTTGCATAGCCTACTGAAGTTTGGATTCTACAGTACCTTTGGCACATGAACTTCTTATTTCTAACAACTGGATTTATGTCTGACTTATGTTGTTTGTTGTTGTCATTTGGCCTCAAACAGGAGCTTGGCTGTAGTCCTGAGTAAATTTCTTTCTAAGGTTTGTTTGCATTGAAGTTTTTTAGTACAGTACAACTTGTTACAGTATGAATATTAGAAGGACTATGCTGTGTCTGCTTCTCATGAAGTAGGTAGGGCAGATTCAAAAGGCAGGGCAGACCAGTTTCCTAAGATGTGGAAATACTATTGTGATATGGTAGGGAGTTGTACAATTCCTGTTTTGCAGAAATTCTTCTCAGGGACTTTTTTCTCATTTAGACCTTTTTTATTTTAACCACCAAAACAACTGAAAATTTTTTCACTGTTGAACTGTGTTAGTATTGCTTTCGATGATCTGTAAATTACACTAAGGCTAAAGAGAGACCCTGGTCAGCATAATGCCTGTGCAAGAGACATTATGCTAAAGGGAAGAAAGGCAGGGAAGAAATCTTCCTCTGTATGCACTGGAATAAAGAATGTATTAAACTGTAGCAGAGGAAAAAAAAGCAATGTTCACAAAGCTTTCCAGATTACAGAATGAAACTGAAGGTGTGACAAACATTCTACATGACAATGTTCAAACAGTTTGGAATACCTTAACAATGAGCAATTGTACAAGGCACACTATTTAGTAAATGCTTCCAAATAGGTGAATACTTAAGGTAATTTTTTCAGGAGATTAATTTCTCTGATACCAGAATTTTCATTTTAAACATCCACATCTCAAGAGTAATGGAGAATTTAAGGAATCAAGAAGTATCTTAAAAATATTTTTGTCTTCTTTTTTTCAGTGCGCATTAAAAGGAGGAAATAGTGATTCGTGGATGAATCCTTTATCCAAACAGTTTTCAAATATGGGCTTGCTAGTAAGTAAATTCTTTTTAAAAGAAAGTCCAACTTTGTGAAAAAAGCTGTAAGTTTTAAATAAGTTGAAAGATCAACTGTTTCACAGTTACTTATCTCCATCTGCTATGCTGGAATGTTCATTATAATGTCTATAATAGCTGGCTCAGAATGAGTTCTCAGAAAAAATCTAATCTACTTCGTAATAGTAGTAAAAGTAATGCTACTTTTCCCAAATCTACTTGGATTCCTCAAGTTACTTTATGATAGCTCCTGCTCTGAGGTTGCAGTTTCCTTGCAAGTAATAGATTTTGGAGGAGGATGTGTGTTTTCGTACTTTGTTTGGTTTTGGGGCGTGGGGATTGTTGGTTTTTGATGTGGGGTGTTTTTTGTTGCTTTGTGTTTGGGTTTTTTTAAATTTTATTTTCATAACACGCTGTTTAGAGCACTCAAGATAGAGGCTCCTGCCTGTAGTGTGAGACATCTTGATAAATCCAAGGTATTCATTCTGAGTCTCAGCCACCTATCAGAAAATGAGATTTATAGCTCTGTGTCTGTCTTGGCTGAATTTATGTTTGAAGTACAGCAGGGTTTTTTTAGGAAAAAAGGGCTCATTATGAATCCATAAGTTAAGATTGTTTGGTAAAGTGAATAGATAAAATCACATCACTGAGGAAAAACCCAGAGCTGTAGGGAGGTATTTCAAAAATAATTATATGTAGGGTTTTTTTTAGGCATTTCTAACAACTTGTAAAATATTTTGCAGAATATTGTGCCAGTTGTCATCCTGTGAAGCAGGAATACTATGTAATGCTGGCTAGCAGAAGATAACAATACAAATTTTGTGTGAGAAGTCCAAGGCTGCACAAGCTGACACTGTCATGCTCAGGATTAGTTTGCAATATCTTTTGACTCCCGAGCTCTAATTCAGCTTGCTAGGTAGTAGATGCTTCTGAAAGCTGTGGGAACATGCTATCCCAGACTGCCAACTGAGGAATCCCATGGCAGCACATTTCAAGATTTGATGGCATGACAGGTCGTGAGGATGAGCTATCGTTTTGGCCACTGTTTTCAGTGTTTTGTCACTCGACCACTGGAACAAGAGGCCAGAGGTTCATTTATAGAGTGGCTCTGTGTCCATCTTTCTCTGTTGCTGCATTTGTGTGTCTGGTTTCATATGGGTAAACTTGCCACACACAGCGTTAGGGGGATTGAGGCAAGGTGTGTCCAGGGTGGATATCAGAAACCCTTGTGTTCAGTTTTCATTAGCACAAGAATGTTCTTCCTGCATTCCACCTTTCTGAAATATTTCTCAGCATTGAATAGAAGTTAGAACTGAATTGTGTTTTTTTTTTCCTCCCCCAGAGTCAAACTGACGACATTCCAGGCAGTAAGATGGACTTGTCTGTAGGTGCGTATATTTTAATTTCAATGCATTTGAAAAGTGAGATCACGTGTAGTATTTTTATGAGGATGACATGCTGTACTCTGGAAGGCTTTGATCCTTAGTTTTAGCACTCCTTGTAATATAAGGGTAGAGTAAAAAGCATCCTCTGTCTTGTCTGTAAGCTTTGACTCTTGCTGTGCAAGATTGGGATGTATACATGTACAGAGCAGAGCTATAACTTGGGACAGAGACATCTTTTAGGACTGTTTTAATCTTTTAAGTTTTTATTCATTGTTACTGTTTCAAGAAAGTAAAAATCTTTTTCATTTAGTGGAAGAGTACTGTTTTTCCTCCTCCCAGTAGGACATCCCATTTACTGCAGCTTCCTGTAGTTCCATGCCTCAGGCTATTAAAAATTACTTATCAGTAGAACTAGATTTGCACCACAACTGCTAGACAGCTTAAGCATCATGGGCTGTGTGGTACCAAAAGTAGACCTGTGGCAGTCAAGACTTACTTGCATCTAATACCAGGTCTGGATTTGGTATTCTAATACAATCCAAGCAGATGCAGTGTCTCTCAGCTTAGAATCCATTGCATTCTTAACTTTCTGTCGCACTTCATAGCGATTCAGTTGTTCATGTTTCCCAAAATTGCTGTCTTCTTCTGAAGTAGGTAAGGATCTCAGTAAGAGATGATAAAAACGTTTATTTATATGGCATAATACAGTTGTGTGAAAGGTAACAATTTTTTGATCTCTCCAGCTTGGCCTCACAGATCCTCTCTAGAATTCAGGCTCTGATTTTATTATGCTTCTCTAAAGAAGAGAAGATGACTGGAGATCAGTCATCTTCATGAGTGTTCAGTTCTCACCTGCCTTCAGATGCTGCTGGTAATAGACAGATTTAAGCATGTGCAAATGAAGAGGATGGTAGCCTGGATTATGTTGATTATAGCTCTCTTAGTTCTTTGTAGAATCCTTTGGAACTTTCAAGGACCCTAAGGCCATGAGAGCTTCTGAGGAGGTGACTGCTGGTCAGAATATCCTGTGAAAGGGTGCAGAAAGGCTGAATCTCTTATCTGATATGTTGCACTTACTTTAGTGTGGCATCCCTTGATCTTAGATAGAGCCATTTATTATGGCTTGCATTCTGTTTCAAAGACTGAGAATGCAACAGATCTTTGTAGACTTTTCTGTTACTTCTGTATTTAGCAGTTTTGCACTTGTTGCTGCTTGTTGTGACATTTGTTCGTGGAAAGCTACATGTTTTGCCCAGCCCGGGTCAACTTCTAAACTTTAAAAGTTGGACTTACTTATGAGGTAGTCTTGTTCTTCAACTGGTGTTCACTCAAGATTACATCATGCCATGTTCTTCTGACAGATAACTGCCAGCATGATGTTTTCCTAGTTTATGGATAAATGTGTGCTTGGAGACCACATACGTCAAAGAAAACTTTGGCTTTGGTATGCTTGGAGCACTTTGGCTCTGATCGTCACGCACTGTCAGTAACTCTTACTACATTGGTCTCAGTCTTCTTGTTTGAAGAGTTATTTCAAGTGCTAGAGTAATACTTTTATGTACTGACAAAGACAGAAAAGAGATGGATCAATAACATATCTGAGTCAGATGTGCTTCTATCAAATCTCTTTAATGGATAGCTTGTCTACTTTGAAAATAGGATATAACTTAACCATTGAAATATCTCCTATAAATTCTGAGATACAAAGTTTGCTAGTCAAGTAGCTTGTCAGAAACACTTAATATTTTTTATTTTCTTTTTCTGTCTTTTACAATCACCTTTGTCTGTTTTTTAATGTACTAGTTAAAACCTCTGCAGATCAAAGAATTCTCAAATCACCTCCAAATACTGAGAAGTTATTTCAAAATTTCTATTTACTCAAATATAATTCATGCAGCTGGCTATTGTAAATATGTTACAAAGCTATAACTTATGTTATAGCGTTCGGATGAAACACCTCAATATCTAAGTGCTTGTGGTTGCTCAACGCTTGGATGATGTAAATTTACAGTAAAGGTATAAAATCAGTATATTTAAAACATTACTGTAGTCAAGCAGAAAATGTTCCAAATGGTTTTCTCCATTTGGGTTTCCCCACTGGGTGTATGTATTTTCACCATGTTGAGTCTCTTGTTGGCGAATGTTTTGAGTAACTTTCCTCAGTAGCAGTTTGTGTCTCCTACCTCCCAGTGCAGGATTGTATTATAATTTTGTTTGGAACTCGGATTTCTTTTTATTTAAGCTCTGTGCATGTGGTGGGGGAGATGTATTTAATAGAAGTTTATTCCCACACTAGGGAGTGAACTTCATCTGTTTGTTTTTGCATTTTTTGCAGTGTTTTTCCCAACTCTTTAATAGTGGGAAAAATCCAAGAACTGATAGGGTCTTTTTTATTAAGATGGTTTAACGTGTAACCTGTTCTAAGTTTCTGCATGTAGAGAATTCGGGGCTTCATATTTATTCATACACTAGTGTTTTTGCCTACTCTAGAGGGTGATTCAAAGTCACATTTTGACAATTGTCTGGTACTGTATGAGGTAAAGCTATTCTTTAGCCCTCTGCATTATTTATAGCTTTAGTTGACAAGTTCAAAAGACAAGACTCACATGACACCTTTCAAGGTTGCATTAGGATTTTCTGTGAATGGGATAAAGGAATGCAATCATCTCTCTTAGTGAAGCCTTGTTTGTACTGAAGTTTAAGCAGCTGCCTCAGCACTAAGTGGCATGCAAATCTGTGATTCAAGCCTTCTGAGGTGCTCTTTTAACGCTCTGTGTATTTTACAAGGCATCATTCAGTAATGTCTGAGGAGTTGATTGGATCATCAGGATAACCAGAGAGACAGAAGGGTGTTTCTGTGGCTTAGTCATCTTGTGTTGGCATTGACCCAGTTTCATTTCAGACAGTGATGCAACTATGCCTGGCTTTCAGTTTCTTTTCAAGCAACTAATGGCCAGGGCTTCCTGTGTGGAATTGGAGCTCATGAGCCTTTTAGTAGCACATTGCTGGCATTGTGTGCAGTGGTTTGATGTAGGTATTGACAGCACTGAGCTGTGGGCGACACTTTGTGACTGCTTTTGCAGAGCCAGTTGTAGCTTTCAGGATATGTTAAGAAAGAGATCAGAGAGCCACGCTCTCATCCAGGTCAGTATGATTCCAGTTACAAGCTAAGATAGGTAAGTTATTTGTCAACTGTTTCCTGATAAATGATATTAAAGGCATCTGAGAGGATGAAGCTGGATCAGCTTTGAAAGCTGTACGGTAAGAAAAACCCATGCAATTAGTGGTCAGTTTCATAGCTTCTTGGCAGTAGAATAGCTGTGAATATCAATAGATTGGGATTGGACATTAAGAAGAGATGCTGGATTTGAGAAGTTTTTTCAAGGAGGCTGTCTTGAAAGTGTTAAAGTGATAAGCTGTCTGCTCTGATAAAGGTTTAGTGTTTTGTCAGTGGTAGGGTAGGTTATCACCAACTTCCTTTGGAAAAGTCACAGATTTTCTTCTTAATTGTGCTGACATGTTTTTAAAACGGTTCTTGGAAAGACCATCTGTGCTACTAACTAAACAGTATTCTTTAAAATACCAGTAAAACTTATTTCTATTACATCTGTATTTTAAAATGAAGATGTTTTCCATCTACTTCAACATAGCAATATGCATCTGATAGCTTAAAGGTGCCACGTATGACCCAAAAAATGCTTACTTGGCAACAGTTCAGTGTGTAAGGTAGAAAACTTCTTCCAGTCAGTTCTTCAGCTGTTGATAAAGCTTTTAGAAAAAGTCCGTGTCTTGTTCACTGTGTATGTTTCAGTTTGGTCTTCTGTTATTGACATCTCATACCTCCACCAGGTTACTGACTAAACAATAAAGAGACTTAGGGGGTGTTTGAGGAATGTGTTACTGGTTGTGTTATCGTGTACAGGCTGAGAGAGATTGCTTGTCTGTCTGAAGTTACAATATACCAGTTGATGTCTTGTGTTTAAGACTTAAGTTCATGTGACTGTAGGAGAATTTTGACAAAATTGTGTGCATGTGACCAAATTTTTGAAAAGGATCTCAAAGAATTTCTCAGCAAAGGCTAATCAGAATATATGGAGAAATTTAATAGTAGTCTTTCTACATACTCAGTCTTAAAAAATAACAGTTCAGGTTTTGGGAGACATAGAGAACTAAGTATTAATTAACATAATTAGATTAAAAGTGTATGTTTATATCTGTACATAAATTGTGAGAAATATTTCACATTGAACTCTATAAAGTAAATTGCCATGTTCAGTGTTAAATGGAACTTCCTACATTCATTTTTCAACGCTTTTAATACCAACTGTAGCTATGCGCCATTATAAGACAGACATAATTTATACCCTGATCTTAGAGATTATTTCTTTGGCTCTGAACCTGCTGTCATAAAACATGGTAGTGATTATTTGCACTAATTTCTTCTTGTTTTGCAGGTGGTCTCCCAGATAAGAAGTTTGAGGTAGATAAACGAGCCGTGAATCTCGGGGATTTTAATGACATTATGAGAAAGGATCGATCTGGGTTCCGTCCACCTAATTCCAAAGACATGGGAACCACAGATAGTGGGCCTTATTTTGAGAAGGTGAGAGAAATATCTTTAGATAAATTAATGTCAACCTCTGTGTTCAAGATCCCAGTTTTTATCCTAGTTCTCCTCAGGTGCTAAAAAATGAATAACCTTGAATGAGCTCAGTAGTAAAAGGTGTGGGGGATAGTTCTATTGGTAGAATGAATGTGTGTATGAAACAAGTGTCAGGTGTGCATAGACAAACTAAATTGGGGAGAGCGAGGCTTTTTATTCTAGGTTAGACTGTTTTTGATGTAGACAGAAATTCCTTTCTCTTTTCTTGAAAGGGAAAAGTACCAGTAGCAATGAAATTCATTATAGGTTTCATCATGATGATTCTTTTGGCTACTACAGTTATCTACTGTAAAAAAAAAAAAAAAAAAGTTGCGATCTAAGTAAATAAAAGTAAAAGTAATCACAGTCTTCTGAATTTTTTCTTATTTCGTGTCTGGCATTTATTAGAAACACCCTTTCTAAATTCCACAACCCCTTATGCTGTATGTCCATGTACTGTAAGCTTCTGTATGACATCTGTTTCTCTGTGACATCTGTTGTATGTTATGGTAGTGTTTCTTTCATATTCTTGCCTATTTTAAACAGAAGCTTTCACTGTTATTATCAAATATTAATTGCTTCACATTATGAATTGGAGAGTGTCCAGTAGATTCAGAATGCTCTAGGGCTGTTTTGGTTTTTGGGTTTTTTTTTTTAAGATACAGTTTATCACATGTAAAATATAAAACAAATTTGGTTTAAAAATTCTGAAGGCGTGTTAACTGTCTAGGAATTTTTTAACTCCTCCATTTTGATAGAACAAGCCAAAAAGCAGTTTTGTCAACTCCCTCTGGTGGCATAATTAATAAATACCATGAGCAAAGCTAATGCGTTTCCTAACAAATTATGCTGGTAGGTGTGTGCTAACATTAGGAATTCATTCAAGATTTGTTTGCTTCTGTAGTGGTAATAGTAATAGCCACTATCAGAAACTAATTTCATGGAAGTTCAAAATGTATTTTTAAAAAGAAAACTTAAGATTATCTCCTTGGACCAAAATCTTAATTGTCAAATGATTGTTTGAATCAGAAGTTTTGTCCATGTAACTGCTATTACAAATTAACTTTGCTTCTTCCTAGTCACTCACCGTCCCTCTTTCTCTCCTCTTGCATTCTGTTGCTTCACTAACCAACTCCTGCTGTTGGCTAACTGCTGCTTCAGCTGACTTTGCCTTTCTCCAATCAAGATGGGTGCCTTGGGGATGAGGCTCCCTGCTCTCCCTTCTCCCCTTCTCCCAGCTACAAGCTGTCTCCCTCTGGTTCCACACTATCCAACGTCGGCCTTGGGGCAATCGGCTCAGGGCTCAGTCCCCAAAACTTCGCTGCTAGACAAGTAAGCAGGCCGCCTTATAAGATGCATTATTATAAGGCTGCAACCTGGGCTTAATCCTGGTTAGTTGGTTGCTTGCATTTGTTCTTCTGCTGAGTAGATTGAAATTGTTACTGGAAATTTCAGCTGTCTCAGGCCATTGAGAATTAGTCCACTTTGGTTCCTAGCATGAGAACATGCTGTCTGGTTTTGTCGGCCTCTTCCTAAATCACAGTGCAGCAGCAGGTAGACGTGTTTTTCAGAAGTCGTGAACTTAGTGGTACCCTTTATTTTAATTGCTGGCTTAAAACTCAGAGGCTGTTGATTTGCCTCATCAAACCCAACACTGAATTTTTTCAGACTCCACTCAAAGACCTTGTATTTAGAAATGTGCCTGTAAAAAGTTGCAGTGAGTTAGCATTGTGTCTGTTCCCTTCTCCCTTCTTTAAATCAATCAAGGATTGATTTAGTAACCTTTAAAAATTCTTGAAGTAGCAATATTTTTGTGTACAGGGAAATGGTGGGGAAGGAGTTAAGAGATTAACTGCAGTTTGGATGAATTTCTGGCAATTATGTTTTGCATTATTCTAGAAGAAAATATTTTAGGAATAGTAGGAAATGAAAGAATAATACCTAATTATTGCAGCTGGTCTAGCTTATGTAGTCATATGCCTAACATGATGGTGTTTCTTTGTGTTGTCTTTCTGTTTCTATGTGACACAGTGTTGAACATCAGATTAAGTCCAAAATTTGCAGACATGTTGTTGATCTCAGTGTGCAGAACTCTGTAGAGTTATCGAGAAGGCTGAAAGTGTAACTGCAGTTTCAAGGCCTCTCAAAAATTTCAATGTATAGTTGACTCCAGCCAGTTCTTTCTAGAATAAAACCTCTTGTTTTTTGAGGATTTTTTTTCTGTCTTTTTGCATGCTTAGGAATTGCTTCTGAAAAATAAGATAAGTGTAGGAAGATGTAGGTGAATGAGGCAATCCATAGTGCTGCCAGTGTAGAAGCAGGAGGAGAGACTTGTGTTTGAGCAAAAGGATAGCAGAGGATACACAGTATTAATGGTAGGAGTATTATGCACAGTATTATAATAGGGCTTATGAAATCCTGGTGTGTAAGGGAAGGAAAAGTTTTAGTGAAGGCTTGCACAATCTCAGTTTGGAAGAATGATGGACTTACATTGGGTGCAGCAGTGCTGGCATGGACAGGCAGAATGGGGAATGATGGCTAAGGAGAGGAAAATACATTTTTTTAAAACCCCAGGTATCTGCGGATCGCAGACATCCTGATAGACACAGTAGGAGATGGGGAATTCTAAGGGTCTTGAAACTGAAAAGAAATTCATGGCACATAAGGATGCTTTGGAGTATGAACTTCAGCTTTTAAAAGCAAGAGAGTGCAGCTGTCTTAGTTTAGGAGATTGTTGATAACATTTCTTGTCACTTTTTTCGAAAAATGGTACCAAAAAAGTGCTCAAGAGGCTGAAATTGTGAAATATAATCACAAATTTTCTTTGGTCTTTTTCATGCATTACGGTGTATTGCAGAAGTTGCTTATAAATCAGTAAATATTTCTCATTAAAAATCTCTAACAGCAAGTATTCTTGTGTTAAAAAATAAATCACTGAAAGAAAAAAACACAATTCTTATTCTCACTTGAAAATCTTCTTCAAATTCAGTGGGAGAAAAGGGAAAGGAAAATATCCAAATCCAGAATGTTTAAGTTTTCATGGCAAAGGAAAATTTTTAATACTATTTTAGAATATAAATTTCAGTTAATGAAAGGCCTGCAGAGGAAATAATAGCCTTGTGAGTGATACCTTAGCAGCCTACTCAGGAAAAGTACCAAGGGGGACCAGAATTCTTGTTGACACAGTCTTGCCATACTTTTAAGCCAACGGAATGGAGTTTTTAGTTTGTTGTTTGTACTCCAAGTTTCTATTTCCCAATACATAAAGTGCAAAATATTAAAACATTTGATTTGTCATGTTTTGAAGTAAGTAGATAAGCATGACCCTTCAGTGTTAGAGGAGAAACTACCTGCATCTTAAAAATGTAGTACAGTGGTTTTAACCCAGGTAAAATATTACTGATTTTAGCCAAACATCTGTAATTTTAAGGGAAGTGTGTTTAAGTCAGTAACTTGGCTCATTGTTACTGATACGTAGTTACTAGCATAGAAATCCATTATCCTGCAAGATTCATCTTCTCACTACTGCTTTAATTTTATAGGGTGGCAATCATGGTTTGTTTGGAAACAGCACAGCACAATCGAGAGGCATGCACACACCAGTGCAGCCACTAAATCCTTCCCCCAATATCCGGGCGCAAGTGCCTCCCCAATTCCTTTCTCCCCAGGTAAGGAATTTATAGCAACTGATTACTTGTGAAAGTAGAGCTACAGCCTTCAGAGCACATCATTGAGGTTACTTATACACCTATCTTAGTCTCAACTTGATGTTAAGGAATGGAAAAGTTAAATAAGATAAAACCATTAAAATTCATAGTTAAAGTACTTAAAACTCAGTGCAGAAGCATTAGCATTCTATCTTATTCCAAGACAGTTGATGCTAAATGCTCGCTACCAGTATTTTTAAACCTCATAAATGGATTTGGAAATCCTGTATTTTATATAGGCTTTTGCAAAGTATTTTAAAAAGAACAAATAAACGTGAAAGCTTAAAGTGTTCCTGAAGTGTGACAGGTTGCTTAATTTTTTAAAGTAGTCTTGTCCTGTGCTTCCTGTCCCCCCCAAAAGAGAGGTTTGATGACAGAGCTGTGTGTTACATTTACATTGCAGAGCTCAGTCTTAAGACCTCAGGGTCTCCAAATGTGCAAGTTTACCTTTTGCTTTGGACTTGGTGAACAATTCTTGAGATTCTCTTGAATTGTACTTGTGTAACTCTCCAATAACGCAGGGAGAAATGGGGGAATTCTTCTCCACCTACTCCTGTCTTTTACTATATCTTACTCAATGTACAAAGAGATTAACTCTTCCTGTGAGGCACTGTTTCTTTGCTCCAGTGACTGCCTGAATGCCTTTCTTTTCCCTTGTCAAACAGTAGTTTTTAATGTGATAATGCAGTACTGTGATTACTGATCTAGCTGCATCTATATCAGCATTTAAATTTAGTGCTGTCTCTAGCACCTGACTGGTTGGGGGAGGAACCTTTGTGTGTGTCTTTGCATCTGCACATGTAATACTGTATACTGTCAATCGAGTGAGGTATTCACTCTGCCCAGGTTATAGATCATGCATGTTTAAATGTGATGTGTTAATAAATCTGTAATGTCTTTCTCAGAACACCATTGAAGGTTGGTGTCATATTTCCTCCTTTATAGAAATACTAGTAATTCATCTTTTCCTCGTAACAGTGTGTTCAGGATATGTAACTGATTTCCATGCAGGTTTCGGCCTCCATGCTCAAACAGTTTCCCAACAGTGGCTTGAATCCTGGTCTTTTCAATATGGGCCCCCAGCTTTCTCCACAACAGATTGCCATGCTGAGCCAGCTTCCACAGATTCCCCAGTTTCAATTAGTAAGTACCTAGTAATCTTGTGAGACAAGACTGCAAGTTGTCTGCTGAGTTTTCTTTTTTTACTTATCCTAATTCTGTTCTGTTCTACTAATATTATTTTGTACAAGTCTTCTCACTTTCCTATATGGGGTAGTAAAGTCCTGCTAGAAGGCAGCAGATAAACCAAATTATTATTGTGGATTACAGTGGGTTAGTAATGATTCTAAACTATGTTTTTTATATAGAAAGCAGTTGTTTGATTTTCAGTGAAGTTTTCTTCAGACTTGTAGTCATAGTGATAGTAATAAAGCAGGTACAAGTAATTCTGTTACACGATGTTAAATTAAAAACATTTAACATTTAAGTGAAGGATGTGGTATTGTTCTAATGTATTCATTGTCATTTTATTTGAGTGAGTGGAATGAGAGTTTACCTAGGTTCTGAGCAAAGCGTTTGCTAGTGAATAGCTCCTGGCAATTATATTTTGCTTGATGAGCTCTGTATTTTCACTCTTCCCACCCCCACTTATCTTGTAGGCTTGTCAGCTCCTCCTTCAGCAGCAGCAGCAGCAACAGCTGTTACAGAGCCAGAGAAAGTTATCTCAAGCTGTGCGACAACAGCAGGAGCAACAGGTGTGTGACACTGTTTTTGTCAATCATATGAAGTAGGAAGAGTGCTGGGGAAATGCAGTCTGCAGTAGAGATGGTGCTGGCTTCAGTAACATCATCTACTCTCTTCACAGTACACTTTATGGAGAGCAGGGTCTTTTGGATCTCTTCTAATTCACTGTTTCTTTGTTTACTGGAATGTGTTACAGTATAGCATAGATGAAGCGTTTTATTTTCTTTCATTTGCAGATTGCTCGTATGGTGAGTGCCCTCCAGCAGCAGCAGCAGAGGCAGCCTGGCATGAAGCATTCACCATCCCACCCTGTTGGGCCTAAGCCGCATTTAGACAGCATGGTACCCAATCCTTTGAATGTGGGTCTCTCAGATTTACAGACCAAAGGGCAGATACCTGGATACGGTTCAGGTGGTAAGTGCTCTATGGAAGGAGGTTTGGTGCATTGCCTGTAGCTTCCCTATTATTAATATGGTAATTGTGTTTTAGTCACTTATGTCTGGGTCCAGAAATGAGTAATTCATGTATAAGCATTAGAGCAAAGGTTATGGCAAGTGTCAACTTTGAATCAAATTGCATTATTTTTCATTACACGAGAAGAACGCAAACCTAAGAAGAAAGTGCATCGTGGCATACTGACCTAACATGCTTATTTAGAAGATGCCCCTTGAACATACCCTTTGCTGGTTTTGATTTTTTTTTCCCACCTTTTTCTTATGATTACAATGACTCCCTGTTAAAAGATGCTTTAAAAAAAAAAACAACAGAAGATGACAATGGAGGTTTGTTTGTTTGTTTCACAGGCTTTGGCTCAAGTGGCATGGATTATGGCATGGTGGGAGGGAAAGAGGCTGGAACAGAATCCCGCTTTAAGCAGTGGACTATGATGGAAGGGCTGCCCTCTGTGGCTTCACAAGATGCCAATATGCACAAAAATGGTGAGAAGGGGAGCTTTGGGAATGCCCTCATAGGATCATCTTGCCAGAGGTGAAATAGTTCAGATGAAACTGTCTTGCCTCGCCAGTATGCACCTTAAATATTTTTTGTGTTAATATATCGTACTCCTGAAGATCTCAACCTTTCCGTAGTGTAAATGTATGTTTTTAATGCTGCAGGTGCAATAGTGCCCCCTGGAAAGGCTCGTGGAGGATCGCCCTACAACCAGTTTGACATAATCCAGGGCGACCCACTCAGCAGCCATGCAGGCCCTGCTGGTGATAGTTGGTTACCTGCCAAATCTCCACCAACAAACAAGATCGGAAGTAAATCCAGCAATGCCAGCTGGCCTCCAGGTATTACATAAGGGCAGGGGTTGTGTCCTTGCTTCAGGATAGATGAGCTGAACCTTTCATACTTAAATAATCATTGCAAAGAAAATATTTGTGTGGCTTGGCCTGTCTTGGTTTTGAATTTTCTTCCAGATTAAAGTAGAACATAAATGTTAAATTTCCAGTAAAAAATGCTGGGTTAAATATGAACTAACTGCTGGATTGCCTCAGTAGTGTTTGGTTTTTGTTAGGTGAACTCCTGTTTTCTGTGGTTTTGTGACTTTGCATTTACAGAAGTTTTCATAAAAACATCTGTTCTTAGAATACACAGCACCATCTCCCTTTGTACTGATTCCTTATTTGTGCTGTGTTAGGCTGACACAGTGTAAAAATTATTGATAGTGTCGAATCAGAAAGAGATATGAAATAGGGTTATTTTTGGGATGGTGGGAACACCACACTGTTGTGGTTCACCTTTGTTCATGCCACATAAAAGGTAGAAGAGTGTTGCAATGTTGTGGCTTGTGGCAAGAAGTCTCTTTTGGGATGACAGGCTGGTGCTGGTTTTTTAAGTTTTCTGGCTTCTCTGGCAGAATTTTTTGTTTCTGCTAGAAAACTCTCTAGGAAAAGTTACATACGTATTTGAATGCACACATAATTTTCTATATAAAACATTCATTTAAACAGAGTGGTGTCCTTGAAGTTGCACTGATTAATCACTAATGCTCTTCAGCAAATAGTGAATGCTTTGATTTTTCTCTTGTCTGGAAGACATTTGCCTTCCAGGAAAACATTACTAACTGCAAACCCTCTGCTGTGTATCCCCTCAAGCACAAAAAAGTAGAAGTCCAGGTACATCTCTTGGGTAAAGCACAGTAACACAGACCTTGCATCAGAAAGCCTAGGAATCTATGTGACAGATACAACTGCAAGAAACCTAGAAAATGTAGTTGAAGATTTTTGAGGGAAGCCCTCAGTGTCTAACTCCAACAAGAAAACATCTTCTGATGAGCTAACAGAGCTAAAGAATTAGTTATCTCAAAAACATCTGCACATCCACTAATTTTCATACTGCTCACTGCATCTGTACAGATATATTTGTGTTACACTTCTGTCAACCTGGTTGTTAAGTATGGAGCTTTTTGGAGTGAAGTTGCTGTTCATAATGCCAAAAATTCCTGAAATGTAATCTTTTACTACATCTCTCTCACAGACTCATTGTTGCTGAACTTGTTTCCTCAGTCACCATTCCCTGTATTACATTGAGAAACACAGTACTGCTCGGAGTGTTGTTACAAGACACACATGAGAGTCACCTCTGCCATGTTTCCAAGTTTTGGAGCACTCACTGGCTTTGGCAACGTTCTTGGTGCCAAAAGTGTTATGGAAGTGAGAAGCTGGATAGCTGCTCTTTGCCCCTTGTTGATCTTAGAGCTTCCCTAATGATATCTGTAGTCCCTTTGCCAGTGTTAAGTAAAATTTTTTTGTTGCTGACTGCCTCACCACTGTGAGAGGTTAAGTGAAGTTCACAAATTCTGAACATAAAAGTTTACTGAGATTGTCAGTACCATCCTTCATGTCTGTGTGAGTAGGCCAGGACTGTGATTGCAGCCCTCATGTAACAGATGCTAGGTTTTGGCAGGTGGCATTTATTTAGTTATTGCTGTATTGCTGTTCCACTCTTAATGAGATCCCTAGGCTGCTGGGACAATAACCATCAGCCACTTGAGCTGCCTCATAGTCTAACTTAGGGGACTTCATTGACAAGGAAAACTAAAATCAAGATCTATCTTACCAACACAACACCCCGATGAAGAATGAAGACCTAAAATGACTTTACACTCTAGGGCTTTCTCTACAAGCTTGTAGATGAGGTCCACTGTTAGTTCCTGACATGGAGATAGAATTCTTCCTCCCTGTCTTGGAAAAAAAGTTAACATTTTGTCAACAGAAATGGATTTACAAGAGAAAACCTCTTGAAATAGGTGCATTTTTCCTTTGAATTAAAACAGTGGTCACTCAGCATTCACCCTGACTCCACCTTTCACATTTTCCTCCTAAATGCCATCTGCTGCAGAAATTCTGCCATTCAAGAGAGCAGTATTGTTCAGCACAAAGATAAATGAAGTGGTACCCAATCAAACTGATATCACAGCTGGAGGTGAGAGCAAGTTTTGCTGCATTGGTGAGAACTATGTAGTTTGGTTATGTTGCACAGACTTGCATAATATAAGTTAATATTTAGACTGTAATTTTCCCATTCAAGATAAGTCATACTTCAGCCAAACTGGCCTGGATGTGTCTGTCATGGTTTTCACAGTAATCTTCCGTTTGAACTTTTTGAGAGGACCTCTCAAATGTCAGTAGAGAAATGCATTTCATGTCTTCTTTACTGCCTAGAAATAAAAGAGCATGTCTATAGACAAGAGTTGGTGAATGTGCATGATAATAACTGTCAGCCCCAAAGGAGAGTTTGGAAATTTGTCAGTGTGCTGAAGTTCAAGGAAGTGCTTTTCCAGACCAGCGTTACATTGATGAGGGAATGTGTTTGTAAATAATACCCCTGATCTTTGGATCCTTGTTTGTATATTCATTAACCTTTTGATTAGAGCCTTCTGTTCACTTAATTTTCAGTCTCACCAATTCTCAGAATCTTTGCGGATAGAAGACTTGGACTTCCTTGTTTGTATGTTTTTTTCCTTAAAACAAGTTCTAATTTCCAGGTTCTCACCTTTGTTCATAGATTCTTTGTCTCAGAACAGAGAAAATATTTTGTGTAGACTCAAGAGCTCTGTTGCTTCTTCCTTAACAAAAGAGGGGTCCTGCTTGTCAGGGGATGGCAGTATTTTGGTCGTAGTTGAGCAGAGTCCTTCCATGATGCAGTGCTGATTGCTCAGTGTTCAAGTGTTGATACCTGGATTATTTTGTTGCATTACTAAAGACTGGGAGATGTAGCTGATGCTTATAAAATCATGAAGGCAGTGAACAAGATAAATGCAGAATTGTTATTCTGTTATCCTTAAATGCTAGAATTAAAAGGTTATAAATTTTAAATAGATGTGAGCTTTTTTCCCCATCAGGAGTGGTGAGCTTTTGTGTTGCACTGCTTGCACAGCTTCTTGAGGTGGTACTAGCCAGTTGAAACAGTGATTGGATAAAATGATGCAGAAAGAGTTTCACAAGCTAGTGCCAGCAGATAGTGGGTATTTCTGCCATCTAAGTTAGGACAGCCATGGATATTGGGAGAGTGTGAGGCCAGTAGTCCACAGGTAGTGGCCAGGTTTGTGTTCTGTCCCTTACTGGTATTTCCTCTACTGCTGTTGGACATAGACCATAGTACTGGCCCCATGGGGCATTTCTTTTGTCTTCTCTCAGATTCTCCCCGTGCATTATCACAGTCTAATACTGCCCTATTGCTGTGGCAATAGTTTGAACCAGTAATATCATGTTTTCTTCTGTATTTGTGAAAGTCATTGGATTGACTATAATTCTTCATTACAAAGGTGACTGAAATGAACCCTTCCCTGCCAGATTGAGCCTACATTGCCTCATTCTAGAGAGTGCATCTTGGATCTCACTTGTAATAATGGATCTTTAATTGCACTCTAACATTCTGTTATTAATTATTTCAGAAATTTGGGTTGAGAATTCTGTATCCTGGACTCATATCTGCAAGGAATGAATTTGCCACCTTTTCACTCTTCTCACACAAATAGTCACATTGTATATGAAGCCTCTTTTTTTGTTTGTGTTTGTCAGTTTTACTTTTGCACCACTGCTTCCAGAACTGACCACAGCACTTTATTCATTGAAGGAACCAAGTTACTGATCTTTCGTACAGTAACTCGAGTCTTTGTGTGTTCATCCTCTTGTCTTAAAATTCTGGCATGCCTGGAGCTATAGCTGAAACTAAAGCATGATAAGTATACCCCATCTCATTGTGAAGCATGTAGAATGTCAATGAGTATATACATTACTTTTACCACAAGGCATCTCACCTCAGTACTGATAGGTAAAGTGTGTGTGTACATACAGTGTGATGTGTCAAATGTGTTTCCAAACTCCCAAGGTAGGCAGCCTTTCCTTGAGAAAGGCTTCTGCACACACACAGAGTATGTGTACAGAATCTAATCTTACATATCTTATATGGAATTCATTAAAACTGTCGAAACCTCATCTGAATGTAGCAAAGCAGAAGCACTTGAAGGGATACTGAATGCCCTTGTACCACTTTTTTTGTAGTGTATTGTATTCATATGACACCAGAGCTAGTGCTGTGGGAGGACCTGTGAAATAAATTACAATTCTAATGTGTAGTCTTTTTTTGCCCCAGAGGAACAGTGCAGAAGACAATTGTTTACCATCCTGAAATACCTTCACAATTACTTCTAGTAAATAACATTTCCATGATTGCCTCTAATTCCTTTTTCTCTTCTGTCCCAGAGTTCCAACCAGGAGTGCCATGGAAAGGTATACAAAACATTGACCCTGAATCTGACCCCTATGTGACCCCTGGAAGTGTGCTGGGGGGGACAGCCACATCTCCCATTGTAGATACTGACCACCAACTTTTGCGGGACAACACCACAGGTAAAACAGTGAACATCTGGTCTGTGATCAAAGTTGCTCTGATACTCGGGATTGTTGCTATGTTGCGGTCTGTCAGACGAACAGTCTGTTGCATTTGCCTGAGAAGGAAGCTGTGTGCCTTTGCACTGTGGCTGGGAGCACCTGAAAGCTTGGGATTGGTACAGTCATGGCTCTCTTGAGGTTTAATGCTGTTACAGAAACTGTGAACTTGATCTCTTCCTCTCTCCTTTTCTCTTTGATAGGGTCTAATTCTTCCCTCAACACCTCGCTGCCTTCACCTGGTGCCTGGCCCTACAGTGCCTCTGACAATTCCTTCACCAACGTTCATAGCACTTCAGGTATGCAGACTTTGAAACTTACCCAGACAAAGCATTTTTCATTTAGCACTCATCCATTGTTGTTCCACTTGGAGTATTTAGTCCATCGTGTGTAACAGTGACTTGGGAAGACAAGTACCAAAACTCTGAACGTGCTCCCTTCCTCTTCCCCTCACCGTTTATATGCTGAGCATGACTCTATGTATGGAATATCCCTTTGCATGGGGTCAGCTGTCATGGCTGTTTTCTCCCAGCTTCTTGTGTATCCTCATCCCTCCTGCTCGTGGGAGGATGTGAGAAACAGGAAAGGTCTTGATGTTGTGTAAGCACTGCTTGGCAATACAGCTAAATCATCTGTATTATCCATGCTGTTCCCAGCAGAAGTCCAAAACACAGCCCCATATAAAGAAAATTGACTCTACCCCAGCCAAAACCAGCATATTATGCAAGTTAAAGAATAGAGTAGTAGGAAGCAGCAGATGCAAATGGAAAGATAAAACAGTACATGTACAATCTGTTGACATGTCAGAATTTTTAAAATATGACCTGCTTGTGTATATATTAATAAAGCGATTTTATTTATTTTAGCTTCAGGACATGGGAGTGCTGAAAAGGGAATGTTTTTGCCTTGCCTTTTTTAGCACTTACCATTCCCTGAAATCCAGACAGTAAGGATATTTGGTCCTCTGGCTTTTAATGGTTGGCTTGTAAATACAAACTTAAATATATGTCTTAGATCCTTCATAAGAAGGTCTCTACAACTGTCTGGTAAAAAAACTGCAAATGTCAGAGTTTTTTCTTGAAGACATCATTGTCTTGACAATTACTTAAAAATGAAGAATTTTGTATAAATAGAGGTGATGAACAGAGCTGAGAGCTACATCTGGCCCAAACTTTAGGATTTTTCATTATACTGAATAAAAGCTGTGTTCAGGCATTACCTCAGCATCTTTACCAAATGTGTTGAAAATGCTCTTTAGTCCTTAAGAAAAATGTAGTTACTGCTGCCGATTTGTGAGCTGACTTTGGTTTGAAGCAGTGTATGCAGCATTCTAGTGACGTAGGCGCTTCCTCTGTTATAGCCTGAGGAAAGGAGTGGCATGCAGCAACTTCTTGCCTTTGCTTAATTTTTTGTGTAGCACATAAGAAAGACCAAAGAGATTTAAAAAAAAATCGAGGTCATAGTCCAGTTGAGTAAATTACACCACTGCCACATACCAATTTCTGTTCATCTGCTAGATAAAAGTGTTTTACAGTCAGAGAGCCAGTCATCTGAACTGGGAATTTGGAATTCACTTATCTGTAAATTAATTTAGTGAAAGCAGGTTTTTAAGCATTTTCACACACTTTCAAAGATTAGTGCTTGAAACCTGCTTGCTACTGACCATTTCTGCATCATGGAAATCTAGAGATCCAGCTGTAAATTGAAGCATGTTTATACATGCTGAAAGCTATGTGGTCTTGGTTTCCAGATGTGTTATTTCATGGTACCCTGGCATATCATAAATCTGTGTTTTTTCACTTTGTTTCAAATGACATTTGCCACAGTCTGCTGGTGACTAAAGTTAAGCGTACATATTTGCACACACGTACATGAGAGTTATGATTAAGATAATGTCTGACACATCCTTTTCCCCTAGATAGCCACTGCTGGTTCTCAGTGCAGAACAATGAGGAATTTCCAAGGATTGTCAGCTTTTGAAATGCCCCTTGGTGTCAGAAGCTGTGGGAGAATTTGCAGTCTGCCTTTTTTAAAAAGCTGGTTTAGGCAGAGCTCGCAAATATTCATGACCGATAGTGATATTTTGGGGAGCACTTTTATTTTTCTTCTATTGCATTTCTTTATAGGAGTTCTTGAAATGTGTTAAAGATATCTACTATAGGCCTTCTAATAAGCACCTGCCTATTAGTAAAACTTTCTAGCAAAAAAATGCACTATAAAGATTGTTTGAAAGTCCAGCTGTCGTGCAGCTAAGCAGCCTTCTTTATGTGGTACTGCTGTGTCAACGTTGTGTGAGATTTGTGATTCACAAGAAAGTTTTGATTGTGTAGGGAGGACATCTTTAGGAGGCAACATTAGCTTAATAGACCAAGGATGGTAAATCCTTTCAGTTCTCTGAAGGTTTTTTCCTTGAAGAAGGTTCAGTTTCATTGAAGGTCAGTAGTGCCCAAACTATTAAGAAACTCTTGGGTTCTCAGATGATATGTAGTGTGAACATAAAAGTTGCTGTTCATCTAATTAATGATACTGCAATCAGCTACATTATTGTAAATGATCTAGATATATTTTTTTGGTCATCATATATAAAATAAGCAAAGATTAACTTATATGTACCATGGGGGTTCTTTGGTATGATAAATGAACGATTGTACGGTTCTATGTTTTGTGCTTGTTTCTGATATAAATGCAGTCAAAAGACTTACTGTGATAGGACATGTACTTAATCTCACAAGTTTCTCTAATACATAAAATTTCTTTAATCTTCTAGCAAAATTCAGTGATTACAAATCAACATGGTCCCCAGATCCCATAGGACACAATCCCACTCATCTCTCCAACAAGATGTGGAAAAACCATATTTCCTCAAGGAACACTACAGGGCTGCCCCGCCCACCTCCTGGCCTGACCAACCCCAAACCATCATCTCCATGGAACAGCACAGCACCCCGATCGGTCAGGGGCTGGGGGGCACAGGACTCAAGGCTTGGCTCTGGTGAGAACTGCTAGCATACTGATCAGACCTGAGCGCTGTATGTTTTACAGCACCCGTGGTTTGGAGCAAAGAAAGTTGCAGTTGTCTGGTAATAGGAAAAAAGAGTTCCTTCTTGAAATGGAAATTTACTGGCAGTGGTTGGGGTGGGTGGGGTGTGGAATCCCAGGTCCTGCTGCAGGGAAGGAGTGAAGAAGGGCTGAAAGCTGCCAGAGGAGAATACCTGCTACATACGGCCTTTCAAGACTAAATGCTTGCTGTGTGTGGGAAATTCCTCCAAGATAAACTCTAGTAAAATGAATCTTGATGTGAACTGTGAGGAAAGGTGTGGTTTTGTTTTCAGGACTGAAGATTAGACTTTCATGTTTTAACAGGGTTGATAATGCTGTTTTAATCTGAAAGACCTAACTGTAAAGAAAGATGACTTTCCTTTGCATCAAATCTGTCTTGATTGCTCTGTCTTATAATTTGCAGCATCTACTTGGAGTGATGGTGGCTCAGTTCGTCCTAGCTACTGGCTGGTTCTTCACAATCTCACTCCACAGGTATTTTCTGTGGTTGTTTCTGGGAACTTGATTGTTTTAGCAAGGATTTATGAATTCTTGAGTTGTTTCTTTTTGAGTGAAATCTAACAAAATCAGATTTGTCAGCATATGTAACGCATTTCTGCTAAACTGAGCTGCAGTCTGACTGGTTTTTCTACCGTAATCTCGTCAGCTAATTTTAAGATGTTCAGGTTTTGCTATGTGACTGTTAAAACATTTCTTTACTTAAGAGTTATAAAAAATAATTGAACAGAAAGGTTTTTCTTAGAAGTGAGGGTCAGTTTCATGACTAAAACGTGGAATGGTTTATAGCTGTTCTTTGGGATGTTGTCAGTAAGAAATTTGATCTAACTGCCAGTTTTCACTTTAGTGTTTCCATAGTGAAACCACAGAATTTTTCCAGGACTCCTGCCAAAACCAGTCTAGTTAGGTTATTTCTGCAAGTATTCTCAAAGCTTGGTGCCATTCAAAATTAATTCCATGGAAATCCTGGTTTCAGCATTCCCAATTAGTCCTGTATTCAAGGGCTAGGAAAAGCCTATATGATTACCAGCAGCACTCTGAGGTCTAGACAGAGAGTCCTGTATTCAACAGGATAATTTACCATGCTGCTACAGTCTACCAAAAAAGGTTGATGTGAAAGGAAAAGCTGAGGTCTCCGTCTGATCACCCAAAATGGTGAACCGTGTTCCTTTAGTACAAAAGACTTTACCTTGATGTGAAGGAAGAAGTGGTGTGAGGAAAAAACACAGTTCTAAGTCTGGCTTGTGTAAAATACTTTAATGCAGCTTTAGGAATTATTTAGTGAAAGAAGAATATATTTTGGAGGCATATAAGTTAGTAGGAAAGAGAAACAGATCATAATTGTCTCATTATGAATTCTGTCTTTATTATGGATCAGTACACTAGAGAATTGTGAAAGTTCGGATGGATTCATAGACTCACAGAATGGTTAGCCTTGGAAGGAACAATATGTTTATTTCAAGGTTCTCTGTTTTAATTTTGACCATATTTGTACCACCATACAACTTCCTTTTCCTGTATTTGAAGCTGCATTATAAAGTAGAGGGGAAAGAAGGAAGAAGGTACCACTTCCTTCAATATTTGCACATACAGATTCCATTCAAATGTCCATGTTTCTGTGGCATACCAGGAATGGAATCTGTCTGTACAGACATTCTGGGAGAACAGCTGTTACTGGAGGTAAGTAACAAGCTGTTACTGCTGCAGAAAGAATGTAGGCAACAACTGCTGTGAAAACATTAGTTCAGACGGAATGGACATTGGTGGGTTTGGCAGCAAAATCACTGACTCTTTCTGTCACTGTTTCATAAACCACAAGGACAAAGAAGCACCAAAATAAATTTTTAAAAATTTCAATGTAGAGATATTTCCAATTTTGCAAAAAACCTTTTAAGTACTAGTTTATCTAAATTGTACTGAAATCAGAGAGCTGGAGACTAAGACATTCTGGTTCCTTTGGTACAAATTCTGATGACTGAAGATGGTGAAAAGTACAAGTTGTATATAACTACTGGAAAAACTGTCAATGTAAGGATAGTGACAGTGTAAGAAACTCAGTGAAAGAGGGGAAACTGGACTCAAAGTGTGAGTGAACAGGAAAGATAATTTAGATTATTCCATACTAAAGCAAACTCCATGTAATTGTGAGAACTCAAGGCATACCCGTTCCTATTTGAAAATCAACTTCTGTCATGTTTGCTTACTTTCCACTGCTCTAATCTGTTTTTCTTTGTGTGAGAGAACATCTTTCAATTACTGTGACGAAGTCAGGATTGGAGTATGTTAGGAGAAATAATTACAAACATCTGTTTGATCCTGGCTGTTCTTCCTCAGATTGATGGGTCAACCTTGAGGACGATCTGCATGCAGCACGGCCCACTGCTGACATTCCATCTGAACCTGACCCAGGGCACCGCCCTCATCCGATATAACACCAAACAGGAGGCGGCCAAGGCCCAGACTGCACTGCACATGTAAGCAGGATTTTGAGATAGAAGTCTTTAGGGCTGTGGGATCGATGATGTAAGCCCCTAAACTCAGTGAAAACTTTGGAATTATACTAGTATCCTGAATTCCAAAGGCTTTTAACCTGCTCTTCATCTGTTTTGTTTAAAAGGTGGCATATGTGCATTTACTTACATAGTATAGGCACTTTTATTGTTCTTGGTATTAATGTTCAGGATCTTAGCTTAAATTTATAAAGATTTTGTTCAGGCATAAATGAATGTTGGGGCAAGGGAGTTGGGGTGTTTTTGTTTGGTTTTGTTTTTTCCCCATATAAGATGGAAGAGCGTGTGTTTTGAGTGAGTTTCACTGTCGAAAACAGCTGCAGTTTTCCATGTCCACTCCATTATAGCAATGTAGTTGATACCTCCTTTGGTTTGGGCACCTATTAGTGTTGTTCCTGGGATTTCTAAATCCCTTGCCTTTACCTTTTGGTTCTAACTTTTTTTTTCTTACGTGTACCTTGCCCTGTAGGTGTGTGTTGGGAAACACTACCATCCTGGCTGAGTTTGCCACAGATGAAGAGGTTAGTCGCTTTTTGGCACAAGCTCAGCCCCCTACACCTGCAGCAACTCCGAGTGCACCCGCAGCGGGCTGGCAATCCCTGGAGACAGGACAGAACCAGACAGATCCAGTTGGACCTGCTTTGAATCTCTTTGGTGGGTCAACAGGGCTTGGGCAGTGGAGCAGTGGTGGCGGCGGCGGCAGCAGTGGGGGTGATCTCACTGGCGCTTCATTGTGGGGGCCCCCAAACTATTCTTCAAGCTTGTGGGGGGTCCCAAGCGTAGAGGATCCACACAGAATGGGCAGCCCTGCTCCCTTACTACCTGGAGACCTTCTGGGAGGAGGGTCGGATTCAATCTGAACTTAGAACTTTCAACTCTGACCTCGTGACCTTTTTTGGAACAGCAGCAGCACTAACTTGACCTTTTTCGTTTTTTTCAACTTGCAATAAATACATTTATAAAAGGAAAAAAGAAAATGGAGAAAGAAAAAAAGGTGGGTCATTGACAGACTGTCTGAGCACATAGTTGCCTCCCTTATATAACTTCAGTTTTTTCGTTTGGAATATGAATCCAAAAAGAGAACATATCACTCTTGAAATACTTGAATCGTGAACGCCAACTTAGAAAGACAATGTGAAGCAAGTACACATACCATTTAAATTTAAACAGAAAAAATTAAAAAAATTAGTTTCTAGTTTTTCACTTTTTCATGTTATACGGAAGTTGTTGCTAAGAAACATATATACTGAAAAAATAGCTTTTTAACTTTGTTTGCACTGGGTGTGTTTCCGTCCTTAGGTCTACCATGTTGGGTTGGGGTTGGGGAGGGGTTCAAAAGAATAAGGGGAGGGAGGGAAAGACTTGACGGAGCCTCACTTTAAAAACAACAATAAAAAAAAAAAACCTAGAAAAAAAATTTAAAATTTAAAAACCCACAAAAAAAAACAAAAGAAAAAACAAACAAAACAAAAAAACCAACACTTTGTGATTGGCTGGTTGATAAGTACCAGTGTGTTCTGGCACATGTAACTGCCCACGTGTGCTTGTTTCTGTGTGAGTGCGTGTGCACATGTTTGTGTGTGTGCATTTTTTTCTCTCTCTATATAATCTTGAAACACTGCATTGCTGATGGTCTACGGGCTGGCTGGCCATCTGCATGTCTTGATTCTGTTCTGAAAGCAAGACAGGCATGGTGGTGGAGTCCCTATGGCTGAAGCAGAATCCAGTTGGGCTGGATTAAAATTTGTCAGTAGGTTGTTTTTTTTTTTAATTCATTTTATCAGGGTGCTATCTCAAATCTGCAGATCATACAGAGTGGACAGTTGCTTCCTAGCCCTTGTTCTAACCCTGTGGTAAAGCAGAACACTGCCATATCCAAAGGATTTGGTGAGAGGGGAGACAATGTTGTCTTTTGAGTAACAGTGTCTTCGTTTATGTCTGCACGTTAGGTTTTTGTACTGAATGAACCCTAGAGTGTTTGTTATATAATGCAAGCCATTTATTTCTTCCAACAAGGGGAAAAGAGGAGGAAAGAAGACATTGCCATTTTTTTGTGCAGATAGACAAATGTTCTTTTACAGTGTCTTACAAGCTTCAGTACCTTTAAAAAAAAGTTTTTCTCCCCCAAACCTAAATAAGCACCTGTACTCATTCTAGAGGAATCCATCTAAAGCTTGAAAATCCAGCCCAACCAAACCAAATTAGCCTTTTAGTTGATTTACTGCTTCTGTTAAAACTGACAAAAAAACTAAATGGTGTCAGCAAAGTGCCGGCCAGCCTGCCTCATCTCCTGAAAGCACATGCAGCTAACTCCTTCCGGCGTCCTTCATGGTGAGCGTTACCTGTGCCAGGCCTTGGTGTCATTACAGCACCAGACCATCACTGACAGAAACGTTTACTTACGAATGTTCTTAAACCAGTGTGTACTTCAAAGGTTTCCTTTTGTTTCTCTGTGTTGTGTTTTTTCCTGTGTATGTGGTTTTGCTTAGGGAGGTATATAACTAGCAAAGACTTTTTTTTTTTTTTAAAGAAGTATTGCACCTTTTTGTTTTTACTTTTTTCTGTACTGTTGCTTTTTAATTTCTGTATTTAAGGAAAGGTTTGGGGTTTTTTTTTAGCATCAGTGTAGTAGTACTCTGGGCAGGATAGGGGTGACCTATAATCCACAGTGATAGCCAGTGTGTGCGTGCATGTGTGCGCTGGGAGCAAAACTTTTAAGACCTGTTGTTGTGAAAAGAGTTGTAGCAGACTTGAAGGAACATCCCTTGACGCAAAGCAGGAAGTCTTTTGTGGGGGTGGGGCGGGGGGAAGAGAGATGCCCATACTTTTTCCATAAATGCTAGGACTTCCATGCGGCATTGTCCAGCTGTTACACTGTCTAACAAAGTGCCGACCTTCTGTACCAGCACATACCTGTCCATTCCAGCCCTCAGAGGGAGCAGTACTTCATCACCTGGCGGAGGGGGCAGATAGGGGAGTCTGTTCTTCAGCATTTTCATTGAAGGATATGACCATGTCTAATGCATTTAACTCATGGGTTTGGTGGGCAGAAGCAAAAACAGATGCAAGTCATGGGAGGGAAGTTGGTGAACGCGTGTGTGTGTGTGTGTGTGTACGCCTGTGTGCTGGGGTGGGAGGGAAGGACTGGGGAATTACATGGCTGTTTTGTTTAGTTCGCCCTTTCTACGTAAACCCAATGTCACAAGGAAGACTGAGGGAAATGCTGCATATACACGCGCCTGTAGATTTGTATGCAAAGTGTTATGTGGTAAAAAAGTATGAGTAGGTTTGTATTTGTTTAGTAAACTGGAGTGTGCAGCATACTCTGGCCCTTTTGGAAAATACTCTCCTATCATGTCTCCTCCATCTATCCCACCATGCACAAAGAAACAAAATGCTCTCTTTCAGCTCCTGCTAGCTGGCTAGTGCCCCACATGTGCAGGCATCTGTACAGCTTTGTTTCTGCTCAAAGACCAAGCACACTCAGACACACAGAGCAGGTTCTTAAAAGTCCTGTGCCAGCAGTACTTCCTAGTGAAGCACCTTTGGCCTGAGCAAGCCAGTATCTGTTCTGTCACATGATTTGCTATACATGCTGGTTCATTGCTGTGTTCCACCCTCACTTCTCTCTCCCAACCTGCCCTAAGGTCCCTTTTCCTGCACTTTGGGCTAGTTGAGTTCATTGCGATACTACGGTGAAAGCCGGGTGCTAGAGCCCCTCTTGTTTACAAGACATAATGAGGGATTTGAAATACTTAAAAAGAAAAGCTAAATTGTTCTTCCATTGTAAGCTTAAAGGGAAAAAATTAAAACGTACAAAAATAAAAAAAAAAAAAGACCAAAAAGTGCATATATATATTTTAGATGAAGACTAACTCTGGGAGCATTTAACAGTGTTTTTGTTTTTATTTTAACATTTTATTTTCCTGCTTTAAATTTGCAAGCATTCTCAGGAATTCTAGGGTAGGAAGCCAGTTTTTTGAAGATGGTTTATTTAACCTTATCCTAGATAGATGGCTGTTTCTTGTTGATAAACTTTTACAAGTTCCTGAATCTTCAAAATGTTTGAAAGTTTTTACTTTAAAAAAAAATGCAAAAAAAAAAAAAATAAAAAGAAAAAGAAAAAAAGAAAAAATCTACAAATGTTACTGTCAAGTGAGGGATCAAGAATTTTAAAGACTTTCTAAATTAAGATACATTAAGAAAACTTCTCAATATCAGCAACAGGAATTCATTGCAATCTTAAACAATTTGTGGGAGAAGGGTTATCATTTATTGTGCTTTGTTACTCATGCAGACATGTGCAGTTGCATGGAGAAGAGAAGTGTGTGAATGGAAACTTACTGTTCCCTCTCGATTGAAACTAAACAGAAAAATTCTTCCAAGCACCTTTTAAAAAGCAGAGTGAAAGTATAAACCTTACTAAAATGCAGTAGAGTTTAACTGAAAGAATCCTCGGTTGGGACAACTAGCAGGAAATACACGATGGTGCTTCTTTGAACCACTTCTGAGCAGTGCTAAAGAAAACCAGTGCTGACAGAATACTCAGTAATGAAGTAGTCCTATTAACCTGCCTTTTTCAGTACAGAAAAGAAAGAATATGGAAAAACTCCACAAAAATGTACGTTGGAAATCAACTTTGCTGTTTTCAGCTACTTGGTCAGTTTATTTTCCCACTTGGAGATTTGCTGCTTGCTTTTCTTCATCCACCGCACCTCCCAGTCTTTCCGTTTCATTTTATATGAGGGAAATAGCTGTTAAACTCCTCTGTTCACCCTGTTGCTGCTGGCTGTCAGGGCTCACAGTCTTGAACTTAAAGAGTTCAGTGTTGGGATGGCCGACTTCTGCCTCCCAGCTCTAGGGGTCAGGGGCTTACTCCGCCTGAAATGGCTCGGCTCAAACCACAAAAACCACGCTAGTGCCTTGTTACGTGCACCCACATGCCCTACAGTAGGGGAGGGGAGGGAAGACGAGGCAAAGTGAGGCAGTGTGGCCACTTCATGGAAATAGATGTGCCCGTTCTTAAGGGAAGAAGAGCATGCCGCGTCAGCAAGTCGTGCAATGAGTTACTTAATAGTAGTTGAGATAAGTTGTATTATTATTAATAAAAGAAATCAGATGCCAAATTCTGTCTTTCTCATAGCAGTAGCCCAGTGTTTTCACGTTGTGCTGCGTGTGCATGTGAGTCTATTGAAAATAATGCATCAGTAGTGATAATAATGTGCTTTAAAAATCCTGTTGTGGGCCAGTAGAAGGAGGATTTACTTAGAAAGTTTAGGATTTTATTTTTTTTTTTTTTTTAATGAGAGAATTCAAGTGCTTTGCCAGAAGCCGTGTTTTATCCAATTAGCAGTGTCCTAAAAGAGAGGAAACCATAGCATTTAGGCATAAAAGCCAACAGACTTGATACTCACTTGGAAATGGATTGTGACTGACTGCTAAAGGGTTGACAGTCTTAAGTTTCAGCTGTCTGCTGGGTCCAAACCTATTGTAGGTTGTTGTACAACAGTCTGCTCCTCGTTTCCTGAATGTGCATCCTATAAGTGTTAGTGACCGTCTCCTTGGTGACAGTTTCCCTGCATTGTCAAAGTAACATTAATCTGTTTTCCATCTACAGTTGACAGATCTATATGGCTTAGTCATGGCACTCCCAACCATTCCAAGTGGTGTTTGAGAATTGTGATAACCAGACTCAACTGCTGGGGACATGAATTGCTTAATGTTGTAAAAATTCTGCTACCCTTGGAGCTCCTAACAGCAAAAAGTTAGCAGGAATTGTTGTTAGGGTATTTCTGGGCTTTTACAAAACTGTTCCCAGGAGGGTGTCATTGGCAGCATGTTGTCTAAACATATTGCAAGGTAGGGAAAAGAGACTGGAGAGAGCATAGCTTGAAATAGACTAAGGGCATCTCTTTCCAGATAAAAATCCAGCCACTTTGCTTACCCTACCTTGCGTTGTCTATCAAGCTGAGAGTTTTTAATCTGTTTGATAATTCTTTGCTCCATTCGAGGATTTTGTCTTAGCAATGACAATAGAGTCTAGCAAGCAAAACAAAGTGTGGTACAGCTCAGAAACCTGTGTTTAGACTTCTGATGTTTACTTTGGAATACTTGCCATCTTTTCCCAGTGTTTTTATGTTTCTACCTGGACACTTGCCTAGCAGTCTTGAGAGTGGGGGTTTTGTTGGTTTAGGGGTTTTTTAGAATCACAGGGTATCAGGTTTTTCTTAATTTTTTTTTATTGTGCTTCACATTAAGTGGCTTTTGTAAT